AAGTGCTAGAATAGGGAAAACGCATTAATCAATTATTGCACAAGTTTTCCAATTGCTGTTCTGCGCTATTCGGAGCAAATGAGTTGGCTTCTTGGCCCCAGAAAATAATTTATAACCCAAGTTGTACGTGTGCCACAATCGTTAACCCAATAAAAAGTACGTATACATCTCCTGTTTGCGGGTGACATTTTGGCCGACGTTTTGGTTCGCTTTGGCTAATAATGAACACATTACAATTGGGACAGCTTTCCACGAGAGATTTTCGTGTTTCATTTCTCGTGCTTTTGGCGGACAAGTGCACCCAGGAGTCGTCTAGAGAACAGCCCGGGTTCTGGCACTGCCATTGTCTAGATGCGGGCCTCGGCGAATGTAAAATTATTTAAGATTTACGATGGCCTGTCAGGGCATGCCATGATGCCATGGTGCCACGATTCCGCTGCCCAAGTCTCCTTAATGACAAGCAGCACAATAAAACAGAAAGGCATGGGCCAAACGCCAGGCAGACACAATGGGCCTATTGCCCTGAATGCCCGAAAATGTGTTGTTTTGGGTCACAAACATGGGCGCACACACACGCACCGCGATCGAAATAGGTGTCTTGGCACCATTCAGGTGGTGGCTCACTCGGAGGCGATCCCTCCCAGGTCGGTTCTCGAGTGTGGGTCACGGCGTGCGGGGGCTGGAGGTTGGGGCCAAGGTTAGGCGAGAAGATCAAAACAATTACGTAATGCCTAGAAAAATGTTACCTGAAGCCAACCAGCGAATCGCTGAAGTTCTCGTGGGATAATTGATGGAGGCTTGCTTTCTGGTGGAATCAAAGCCAAAGTCAAAGTTAAAGTCCATAGGTGGCTGACTATTATAGTTCACATTAGTTGCGTTTGAACGAAACTGTATGCAAAGGCATGGGCAAGCTAGTATTAGGTAAACCTTAGTTAATCTTAGTAACTCTGTCTGTAATCCCCAGGCTGCGGCCCGCCATCAGTGTCCGTATCTGGTGAAGCGGTACGAGAAGGAGTTCATCAACCAGGGAGGAGATAGCGCCTGGCTGGGCGGCCTGGACTTCATACCCGCCAAACTACGTGCCATATACGATATCAATAAAATATTAGCCCATCGGCCCTGGCTGCTGCGCAAGGAGCACATCGAGGTGGGTACTCCGCCGTGCGGCATCGGCTGGGCAACCGTAAAATGAAAACTTTATGCTCTTCCAGCGGCTCACGAAGGGGAAGAACAGCTGGTCGCTGTCGGAGGTGGTGCACGCCATGGTCCTGCTCTCGCACTTCCACTCGCTGTCCTCCTTTGTGTTCTCCTGCGGCCTCACACAAAAGCTGGACGGGCTGTCCAGTCCCAAGCTGAAGAGCCCGCCCGCTGCAATGGGCGGGGGGGACCTCGCCCCCACCATCCTCATCACTCCCACCTCGCCGACGGACCCGCCGAAGGGGAAGCCCGTGCTGGCGGAGATCTCGCTCAACAATGCAAATCCGGATTACAACAGCCAGACCGCAGCGAGCAGTAATGGAGGAGCTCCACCGGACTACGCAAATGTGGCTGCGGATGGACCCGATGCCACGGCCCTTAATGGATATTTGGGTGAGTACACAGGCAGACATCTATTGTCCTAAAGGCTCTCACTTGTAGTAAATTGTAAATTGTATTTACTGGCATGAGGAGCCATTATTGGAAGATTCCTAATTATTTAATATGTCACCCTGCGAGCCCTTGACTAACTTGATTGATTTGCAGCCACGGCGCAGCAACTGCCGCAGCAGCACGGCATCTGTGTGGAGGCGCTGATGGAGCGCATGAAGGTCCTGTCCCAGAAGCAGGACGAGTGCAGCGAGGCTGAGCTGAGCAGCCGCTTCCAGAAGGTGGAGCAGCAAACGGCGGAGCTGGCGGCCGTGACTCCGGAGGCGGCTGTGAGCGTGCCCACCAACCTGTCCCACTACGTGGACGATGCCAAATTCATTTACCAGGACTTCGCCCGTCGCGGCACCGAGAGCATCAGCACGTTTCGCATCCAGGACTACTCCTGGGAGGATCACGGCTACTCGCTGGTGGACGGGTGAGTGATGTGCCACAGCTGTTGTCCCACTGGCGCTGAGCATTGCCCATTCCCATTCACCCCAGGCTGTACAACGACGTGGGCACCTTCTTGGACGCCAAGTTTCGGGCCGCCTACAATCTCACCTACTGCACCATGGGCGGCATCAAGAACGTGGACACGTCCAAGTTTCGGCGGGCCATTTGGAACTACATCCAGTGCATCTACGGCATTCGCCACGACGACTACGACTATGGTGAGGTGAACCAGGTAAGGACGCAGCTTAGGATGGAAATGTGACCAAGGAAGATGCCTTACATTTCTGCTCCCCAGCTCCTCGTGCGCCCCTTGAAAATGTTTATTAAGACAGCCTGCTGCTTCCCCGAGCGAATCACCACCAAGGATTACGATAGTGTGCTGGTCGAGCTGCAGGACAGTGAAAAGGTGAGTGGAATTTATCCAGTCTGCGTGCTCTTGGCACAGCCATTAATCGCCTCTATCTGATATTTGGCCCACAGGTTCATGTGAATCTGATGATAATGGAAGCCCGTAATCAGGCCGAGTTACTCTATGCTCTGCGCGAGATAATGCGCTATATGACTTGATCTCATTAAGTGAATAAACATACGTATATATACACGCCCAAAAACAACTCACCACACACATACCCACACATGCATAAAACATTTTGTTATTTTGAGAGCGCATCGGAAATTCGCCGAAACGGAAACGGAAATGGAAACTGTAGGATCCCAAAGGCAGGAAGAGCCGCAAAAACACTGTTTTGAACACAAAGAAGGAAGCAAATGCGTAGCTGCATGGGCAGCAATTAATAGCATTCGAAATCGGTGTCCACATAAATGGATGTGAATCGCTTACTACTCAATTAACAATAGTCTGTGTCTATGGTTAGCCACACGCAAATTAATCACGTATACAATCGCAATGCAAAGATGAAAAATGATTCCCAAATCGAGCTGAACTCAAAAGCAAAACGTTCTGTCTGTTTCCCTTTCGTGAATGTGCAAGCAATAATCACTGTACATATGTATTATGTTTTGTTTAATTATTTTAGCGGAATAAATACAACTTTATTTTAATTAAACGCCCCCTGTTTTCATTTCTCATTGACGTCAGTTACTCAGTTTGTAATATCTTATTTGTCCTTGATTACACTTATTATCCTGAGTTTAATGTTTCGGACAGAAACGGTGATTGGAATGTCGAGCTTTTGATGGAGAGATAATAAGTATAAGTGTCTATTTTGATAGTATTTAAATCAACTTATCAATGACTGTAATGTGTGTATCGCATCTAAAATATTTGTAAGGCATTCAATGTCGTTGTAATGCACATGATACTCCTCTTGGCTGACGAGATCAAGTGTCAGCTATATACATATATAATAAGCCGAGCTAAGAATTTAATCGGCATCGTACGAATTTAAAATACACTTACTACAGGGTATGGCATCTTTTAACGCTTAATTGGTCCTTGTTTGCCAACTTTCCATTACCAAGCTGAAACTTTTGTTGAGCGGAGGTACTCACATCTTTCAGATGAATAAATCGATTGTACCTTTTGCATTCGTGTAGATACATTTGACATTTTTGTCGAGATGCAGGTTTCGCGTGAAATGCAAACGAAATACTTAAGTCAGAATGTTTAATGTTAAGGAATATGTTCAATATAGTTGTCCTGCCTGAAGGAGGATTTCAATTCCACGCTTTGATGGGTTATACAAAATATACAAAATATGGATGCGAACTCTGATATGCTGTGGCCAATTTGGAATTTTGATGGGTCAATAGAGTTTGAGGAGTTTACAAACCATCTGTAGTGTTAATTCGATTTCTATTACGTATATTTGTGCAATATTTATAAATGATTGAAGTAAAACTAGCATGTAAGCAAACTGAAACGCCGAGTTAATGGTTTCTTCAAAGCGGATACGAATATGTACGACTTTAGTGCTTTGTAAGATCTCCAATTGTTTTCAGGCCCATTAAGCGAGTTAGATAACATTGTACATAAAACTAGCGAGCTGTGGCAATTCAAAGATGTGATTTTACCGAATATATATACAGGCACATGTATTCCTTTGCAAATAATTAATACATAGAACAAGTATATATATTTGGCCTAGGTGTAACTTTTCCTTCTACAGACTTACACAGACTAGACTAAATAAATCGCTTCACATGTTCTTGCATCAATGGAACGGCGAGTGCAACTTGTAGGTGAAACTCTTTAAGTCGTAAGTGCATATTATTAAGACACAAGAGCTCAAACAAGGCTGTTTAAAGTGAGTAAATATGAACGAATTTAACGAATATACCGCGATTTTGAAGATGGCAATGCAATTGCTAGATAAATTAGGAACTAGGCATATTTTAATGTTGAGTGTTTTCGTCAAATCATAAATACATATTTTCGAGCAGTGGCTCTTTCTAGAATTAAGGAGAAATATACTTAGAAAGAGGCTTACACAAATTTAAATTGGGTGTTCAACAATCCAAATATGTACATGTGACTTTAAACCAAACAATTTCCCGTTGGAAATGATTTTATCCGTCGATTTTTGGTGTCCAGTCTAATCTTGAATGAAAAATGATCGCATAAATACACTACATATACACTGTAAGAAACTACAAGAGAGCACCATTTCATAACTTCAAACGAAAGACAAATACAAGTATGTCGATTCTACGATGAACTATTGGAACCGAAATATTCCATCTTACATAAAACACACTATTTACCAACTAACTATACTATTTACCAATGCTTGTTCTATGTGATAGATCAGCCTAACTGCGATACCCAAAAATTTGTGACTGCTCTTTGGAGATCTTCATCTCGCGCTTAACTTGTATTACTATATAAGCCACAGAATTATAAGTGTTTTTATCTTCTTGGTGTTTGGTGTCTAATAAAGCAGCCCGAAAAGAAACACCTCTTTCTCTTGTCGGTATATACATGTTTATTCAATTAGATATATAATTTATAATCGTACCATTTCAGTATTCATTTCATTACAATTAGTTCTCATTTACTTAGATTGACTACACAATTTGATATTAATTAAGAAGATTGTTTGGTTAAACTTAAATTGAGTTGAATAATCGATTCGGTTTATAAAATATTATGGTTAAAATACAATAAGTTCTCTTTTGATATGGCGACAAAGATACTAGGAAACCTCTAGAAAACTGCATTTAATAATTTCTTTACGATTTAATACACATTGGTCCAACGCAGATTTAATTTTAGTTTGGTTTGGCGCTGCTCATCGAATTCCACACAGATTCTCAGGCTCGTAAGCCTTTCCTGAGAAGAGGGATTCGTAAGATTGCATCTCCAAGGTTTGTCGATTGATATATAAAAGGATTGGGGCCGGGGGCGAGTAGTTAACAATTGGTAGATCATATATTATTGTTATTGCAATGTTCAACATCTAGGCACAAAATATATTGCTTCTCAATTGGGTATGAAAGTTATTGCAAAGTCGTTAAGCGTCGAGGGACCCAAGGCCAAGCCCCACGACTGTAAAACAAATTAATAATACGTAGTATGTCTGCGCTTTGTTTGTTAGGAATCATAGTTCGAAGGTCGAAATGTTTATGTGGGAGACACGCGCTTCGCGGGCGAGTTGCTCAGCAGGGCCGCCTCCTTGGCCCGCTCGTGCTCGTCCTGGAAGAAGATCTTGGTGATGACGACGTCGCCGGTACTCAGGGTCTGCGATTCGGCGTCCACCAGCTTCACCACTCGCTTGTCAGTCGTTCGCAGAATGGGCGTCACACTGCGCTCACCCTGGCAATTGCAGTTCTTAATGCTGTAAGCAAGCGGTTTTAGGAGTTACTTTTTATAGGGACAACACGCAACTCAGTACTAACTTTTTGGATTTCTCGCGTATAATCTGCAGATTCTCGGTGGTCGCAATGCTCGAACCCAATTGCTCTTGCATAGAATTCGAAGCTATAATCTGCAGGGAAAGAAGCATTAAAGGAATCGTATAAAAGTGTAACCGACTTTTCAGTACTAACTTGTTCACATGGCAGCGAGGTGGCAGTCGTCAGAATGGCTTCCAGCTTGTCAATACGGGCAATGCGATCCATTGACTTGTTCTGGAGAATCTCCTCCAGCATTTGCATGGATTCAGTCAGACTTGGTGGCTCTGAACTGAAGCGTGGCGAAAAAGTGCCCGAAAGAGAGTTGTCCGATGGCACCGAATCCAAACTGGGAAAGGCGTCGTTTTCGTTCGGCTCTGGTTCATCCTCTGAGTCACTTTGATCTCTGGAAGCACAATTATAATGGTCAGTTGGATAGCTATTTATTTTGGAATCGATTGCACTCACTTGCTGGGATTGCCGGCGGACTCCATCTTCTCCAGCTTCTTCGCCACCTTGTAGTAGCCCTTCAGGCGCTCTTTCTCATCCTCTGTCAGGTCCATATAGCTGTTAGTTATGAACAAATGTGATTAAAATGAGTAATGTTTAAATGTAGATCATTACGAACCGCAGCAAGCGTATCTCGCGATTGGAGAGCACAATGCTTTTGCTGGTCTGGGCCAGCTTCTGTTTGAGATCGGACACCTCGGTGCTGACCTTGCGCTGCTTTTTGCGTATCTTGACCTCGTTGGGTTTGATCTGCATGAGTATTTGCTCGGTGCACAGCTCGGAGAAGAGAGCCCGATTCTCCGGCTTGATCTGTCGCGCCAGGTTGCCAAATAGCTGGTCGTGGATGAGCACCAGGACATCTCCCGCTGCGTACAGCATCATTTCGCGTGTGAGGGGTCGCTTGGCCCAGAACTTCTGGTCCCTGCGGTAGATCTGCTTCAGCTGATCCTTGATCGGGTTGCAGGGGGCGTTGTACTGCTCGCACAGCGAGTTCAGCGATATGTACTTGGCCTTGTAGACCTGCTTGCCGCTCTCCTGATACTGCAAGATGGCATGTGCGGCCTGTGTGTCGAACACATTGCGCAGCAGGATGCCAAATTGCAGATACAGATTGGCAGCATCGTTGCGGCAGTCGTGTATCACCTTGATCACCTGGTCATGCTCCAGCACGGTCTTCAGTCCGCCATCGGTGACCATCGCCGGGCAGGACTGCACATCGAACAAGAACGCTTCGCCACGGGTCGTTCCAATCTCAATTAGGGTGATCTCCCCCTTCAGGCCTAGGTTGATGCCCTCGCAGTCCAGGGAGACCACTATGTTCTCGTTCTTGGCCGCATACTTGAGTATAATGTCGGTCACAAACACCGACTGCTTGACATTCGCTATCACCGTGGTGTTCTGCAGCACCTTTATCTTCCAGGTGTCGCCGACGAAGTAACTATGACTAGGTGAGTGATTGGCATTGTTCGGATTCGGATTCGCATTCGAGTTGCTATTGGCGTTGTTTGCAGCACTACTGGCATTTTGGTTGGAACTCGTATTGGCAATGGAATGCACGGGACTGGCGTGAGGGGAAGTGGGCCCGCCCTGCTGGTTGGCCAGCGATTGCTTGTCCTTCTCCAGGTTCTCGGCCAGAGTCCGTATAACTAGGGTGTTGATGCGTTGCTTGAGCGTTTGGTTAACACTATTCAAACGCTGCTCTGCCGGATTCTGTGTAGCCTGCTGCGGCTGCGGCTGCTGCTGCGTCTGCGTCTGCAGTTGCTGCGCCTGCTGGCTGGAGTTATTAATGGGCCCGTAGCAGGTGTTCGCACTGGGATAGTTGTTCTCGCACAGGTTCTCCAGCTTCAGCTCCGACATGGGCACGTAGCTGTCGAAGCCAGAGCTTGGCTCCGATTTGGGCTGCCCGAACTGTCCCTGGCTCTGCCCACCCATCACATTCGAAACGGGGGCATTCAGCTTGAAGTTGGGGCAGGCGATGCTGTTGTTGTTATTATTGCTGCCGTTGCTCCCATTGTTGTTGTTCGTGTGACCATTACTTCGCAGAGCCGGCGATTGGAGTCTCTGCTGAACCGAACTGACAACTCCACCAGTTGGTGGACCGCCAGTTGTTGATTCCTGCTTGCGAGTGATGGCGCTGTTGTTATTGTTCAGCGCATTGAATTGCTCCCGGGTTTGAGCCTGTGCCTGCTGGATGTGCGTATCGCTGAGCTTTGGCTTCTGCAGCAGGGTGACTAGATTGGCCTGTATGTGGAAGCAGTCCGCGAAGAGCTTGAGGAAGGAGCTCAAGTCGCCCGGCGTCTTGAACATGCGCAGCCACTGGTCCTGCGGGAAGTTGGTGGTCAGCAGGTGGAACAACTGGTCCACCAGCAGCGGTCCCTTGACCTCGATGCAGTGGGCAAAGAAGTCCAGCATCTGCTGCGTTCCCCGAGTATCGATGTTCGACTGCGGCAGGTGAAGGCGATCCCGCGCCGGCAGATCCGTCATGTTCTCGCAGCCCACCAGCATTACGTAGTCGTCCGTCACCTTGAAGGTGTCCGTGTGCTTCATCAGGAAATCGGTGAACTCCTTGATGTGTTGGCCTGTGTGGAAAATGATGAGGGTTAGTGGAGGCTTCTGATGCATACGTAATTCTGGTCCAGGTTGCCACTTTAAATGCTAATAAAGTCCTGTCTATTGTTCATATTTATCGATTTAACGCCCGAATAATTTGCAGACGCGCAGTAACACCGTCGGTTCGCATTTACTTCATTAGTTTTGAGTGGCAGCCTTGATTGTGAACGCCTCCGTTCGTTTTCAACTCACCCGATATGTGACGCACTTGGGGAGACGCCTGCGACCGGTGGCCCAGGAGACTGCGAACGGGCACCTCGGCAGCCGCTCCGTACTGCAGCATCTTGTTCTTGAAGTAGTCTTTAGCCTCTTGGATGTAGTCCCGCTTGCCCCCGCAGCCGCCGTCGTCCGCGTTGTGGTGCTGATAGGCGTTCACCTGGACGTAGTCGCCGTCCACCAGAAAAATGGCCGGATACTGGGCGAGAAACTTCTTCAGACCTGTCAATCGGCGGAGCAAAGATGTCAATTACAATTAGGTGGCCATTAGGGCTGCTCCCATGGAGGCGAGTGAGTGGTTAATGCAGTAAAAGTGTTGCAGCTACGCCAGCGTAATTAATTTACTTTCAATCTGTCAACTCGGAAAGTGCGCCAAGCAGCGTAAGTACTCATATTGTAGCATAGTTGGTTAATTCCCGGGCACAACTGGATAGTTTCAACTCCCAACTTTAACAACTGGATTGTGAAAACTTTTCTCTGATTCGTGCTTATATCAGCGGGTAACATGTGCCTGGATTCCCATAATTAACAACATTGTTTAATCGCATAACCATCAAATGACGAACTCACATTCATCCGCATGTGCCACATGTAGATGTCTACGTATGAATAATCATGAGTGTTTTGTACTGCCTGCTTCTGTGTTGTTGATTTGGTTTGTGAAGTTGGCTAAAGTTTCTGGATTCAAAGTTAGTTTAGAATTGCATGAATGAGGGAAGCTCTGCCGGAGATTTGACTTTGTGTAGTTCCACTGGGAGATTAAATGTGCTTATTTCAATAAACAATCATTCATAAATCATGCATTATCGCATCTGTGAGCGTTGTAAGAGTGATTTTAAGCCCTAATGGTTCGTCTGAACTTGTGTAACATAGTATTCAACAGCAGCTACCCCTCTGACACCGCTCAATTGTTCTCAGTGTAGTGCCAACCGAATGAAAAGTGAATGCACTCAGGCCGTGGAAACGACTGAGTGAGCCAGCGAACCATTTATTTGATAAATCAGGTCATACTCGTAGTTGCCGCCGCGGCGTCCCAAAACGGGGCATCCAGGCCAGACCAGACCAGCCCAACCCAACCCACCACTTCCAGCTCATCATCCGCAATCGGTAGCAATGCGATGAGCACTAGACTCCATATGTCCCATTGTACCAGCAGCGCCCCCCACCCACAAAGCCATCTGCTGTGCTCATTGTTTGGTTTTGGTTAATATGACGTGACAAGACAACGCGCAGCGTTGGATAGATCAGAGGTTTTGTTGCGTGTCACTCGAATTTGGCTCCGTAATGGCAGACATGAATTAATTCAATTGCATTTGACATAACTCGGCCGTAAAGTCGCTGATGAATCGGACTGGCATTATGCAAGGTGTGTGCTAGCCAGCTGGATTGCCAACGGATTCGGCTAGTCAATCGCAGGGTAATCCCCGGGCAGACATCTCGTCATCCCAATTCCCAGCTGCCAAATGAGCCACAAAACTGACAAATGGCTAGCAATTTCCACCACCCAAAGAACAGGAGAGTGGAAAAAAACGGGGTTTAGAGCGTAATTCAATTTTATGTTTACTTAGAGAAATTGAAATTTGTGGAACAAATCGAAGTTCATGGCATTTCAATATTTCAATATTAATATTTACCGAGGGCGGACGCCCAGCCCGAATATGTAATGCAATGTGCTCAAATATACGTGTATACCACTTGGCCACTTGGCGGGCTAATATTTGTATTTGTCTGCGGCTGTGTGCTTAGCCGCAATTCTTGGCAAGCAAACTGTTTTGGCAGCACCCGCCCAACGAAGTGGATGTGGAGCAGGTGTTACGAATTTGGGGGGTTTTTGGGTGGCTTTTGGGGCAGCACTGCCGCATTTTACGGCTCGACCCACTTGGACACATTTTTTTGCGGTGGCAATTTTCAAATGCACCGAGGACACTTGCCATAAATTTATGTATATTTATGCCTTGTCGCTTATTGAAGAAAACGTAAAACGTAAAACCAAACGAAACGAAAGGAGAGCATTTCCCCAGGATGTTGTGAATCGAAATGTAAGTGAGGTAGTGAGGAGCAGCCAGGTAATGGGTTATGTCTGGCCGTAAACTCCGGATTTTATGACTCACTTGGGGGGCTGGGAGCCATCTCCTCCATCTCCCTCATCTCCCCCAACGTAGACCATTCCCAGGGTCGTGACTTCATTAGGAACTCATTAGTTCCGCCTCATCACAGCGTCCTGGCTGTCAAAACGGGTAGCGATCAATTAGCAACAAATGGCACAGAGTTCGCAAATAATGAGTGGCACACTCACTTTCGCCTTAAACAAAATGTTTCGCCCTTTGCGATTAATGTCAAAAATCAATGCGAGTTCCACTCTCTTGGAGGAAAGGAAAGTTAGCTAAAGCATAAAAACCTTGGCTGCACACACGCAATGCCGGGAAATGTGGACCTTGAAGGGGGGATTTTCCGGGTGGATTTCCGTGGGTTTTTGGGGGTTAAGGGGGAGGGAGCACCGGCTGGCAGGCGTTAAAGGATTTTCTCCCCTCGACACAAAATCGTTAAATTTACGACAATGTCAGAAATTCAAATGCGTACGGAAAACGCAGAAGGTTCAAGCGAAATTAGTTGGCAGATCGATCAGGCAATCACTCTGTTCATCTAGTCTATGCAACTTTTGGTTACAAATTGATAATCAATGTATTACAATCGATTAAAGTGAGTTATTTCACTAAGTTTTTCCAGCTATACTCCATGAAATATGCAGTTTAGCGCCTTGGAATTTCAGACAGCACTCTATCTTGATTTTCTACTTTTTACTCGGCTGTGCGCCATTAGTTTCAAATTGATTTCTGTGTAGCTTAAGTATTTATTTCATTTGCTTTGACAACTTTTGCCAGTTGCCTGTGCCTGTGTGTTTTGTTTGCTTTGGCAATCGATTACGCAAAGCGAAAATATAAACACACACAGAAAAACAGTTGCGAACCTTCACAAAAGGCTTGGCCTGTTTTGGTGCGAGTGCTTTTTTTCCACATATTTTTACTATTTTTCCCATTTTGTGTGTGCAATTATTCAAAGCCGCTGGCAAGCCAAAATGGCAAAACGATAAACTAAGCTAAATGGTCGTGTTTACTTCTGGCAGGCCGTTAAATTAGCAGCGAAATTTAAGCTAGCCATTAACGAGTTTCAGTTCAGCAAACTCTTCAAACTGTTTGTCTAACCCAATAAACGCCGTTTGAGTTTCTCCCTCTGCCCGGCTAGAAAATTGCTTTCAACGTTAATTTCCCGAAAATGTTTCCCCACCAGAGAACCCTCATCAATCGCTGGGGAATATGCATGGTGGCACACACACCTCCATTTATTATTGAAGCAACAAATGGATGTGGTCTCTAGTCCCCAGAATATCATGCAATTTTATTGAAATTCAATTGAACATTTTTGTCACGTAATCGACACTTTTCTATTACAAAGTTTCCGCCTCTCCCCCGCCACTGCGTTCCTGACCAAAAACCACATAATGTGCGAATCGGATGGGTCTATTGTGGGCGGCAGTCGCCGGGGGGCAAAATGGTGCTCCATCGGCCTTAACGGCTTATAAGTTGGGCAAACAACACGTTGACAAAATTGAAGAGGCATAAAATATGTTTGTGGGATTGGGATTTGAGGTCAGTCCCAGTGGGCTGAAAACCGGGATTAGTGGCCAAAATGGGGTTGCCATTGGCCAAGGAACTGCTTATCACACGCTCAATAGTTCCATACCTGGAACATCCAATTTTGGTAGTCCGCAACTGACTCTTCTCTATTTATAATTATAAGACCTTGACATTTCCATTTCCATTTTCCCAAATCCAGCTGTGATTTGCGTGCTCGCCGCGTATTTCCCTGAACTTTCCCTACCTTGTCTATTGCGTTCTTGGCCAAAAGTAAAACTAGCGCTTTAAGTCGCAGACTAAACTAATTCTGCGGAAAATGTTGCTCACCCGAGGTAAATAACATTTGTCCGGGCGACAGAGTCACGCACATGGGTGTAGAATCAACAAATGTGATAAACATTTTGTTAAATGTTTGTTTTTTGTCTTGTTGCAATTAGTAGCCTGCAAGAGCAGTGTATGCCAATTGTCACGGTGTATGATCGAAGCACCATAAACACAATTATGGCAAAAAGTTGATATTCTCGAATAGCTCTTAGATCATAACTTGGCTAAAAGTGATCGCCCAGCGAAAGTAATGACCGTTTTGTGCAGCTTTTTACATAAACTAACGGTTCCTATCACTTTTCCACTGATTTTCCGAATTTAAAATTTTTGCCAATTTTCGCATTTTTCATAAGGGGTTACATCATCAAATTTTACGAAAAATGGTCAAAATCAAACATTTCCAGCTGGGAATACCACTGGATGGGAAATTTTATTACGAGTTCAACAAGGTGAGACATTCCGTATTTGGTCCACTACTTTTTATTTTGTAGAGAAAATACGTAATATTTTTTGCGAAAAAATTACAAAAGTTATAAGTTGATATTCTCGAATATCTCTTCGATCATAACTTGGCTAAAAGTGATTGCACAGCGAAAGCAATGACCGTTTTGTGCAGCTTTTTACATAAACTAACGGTTCCTATCACTTTTCCACTGATTTTCCGAATTTAAAATTTTTGCCAATTTTCGCATTTTTCATAAGGGGTTACATCATCAAATTTTGCGAAAAATGGTCAAAATCAAACATTTCCAGCTGGGAATACCACTGGATGGGAAATTTTATTACGAGTTCAACAAGGTGAGACATTCCGTATTTGGTCCACTACTTTTTATTTTGTAGAGAAAATACGTAATATTTTTTGCGAAAAAATTAGCAAAGTTATAAGAGCATTCCCACACAAACTGAAGTTCATGACGATTCCGCGGAGCTAAATGATTTGCTATTAATCCCTGAGGTGCGGAGGCAACAAATGCGTGCCATTTCCTGTGGCTCTTTTTTAAAACCCCCAGCTCACGAGTGAGAACATCAAACAAATGTCTTCACATATCTCCGGCTCGAGGGAAAGTGCATTGCACCTTCCCAACTCCCAGCTCCCAACTCTCAACTAAGTGCTAGCTATTTATAAAAACCGAAAGTTGTTTGTTGCGGCTATTTTTAGTCGCTCGCGTTAGTTAACCGTGCATTTTGATAAACAGCGTGGCCCCGAGTTTTCCATGTGCCGAGTTGTCAATGGAATTACAACACGTGTACGTCGAGCATGAATCTCGAGTCTTTGCCTGTTTTTCGTAGACCAGTTGTAAGCCAACACCCATACCACTTGTGGAAAACGGGAAGGGGGAGCATTATCGATTGCAGCTTGGCGGCTGCAATGAAAGGCGATAAACCCTTGGCATGTTTTTGTGGTTTTTGGCATTGAGATCAACCGGCAGATGGAAAATGAGGCGCCCAGACTCCCCTCCGGCAACTGGCAATCGCAATTGGAAATGGAAATGGAAACGGCAATGACATGTGCACTTGGATGCCGACCACTCGAAGGCAACATGCACAACACAATCAGCGAGTGTGACTGTGAGTGTGACAAACAACGCAAACCCGCAGGTGCACAAATACTCGTACTCGTACTGTATGTATGTTCCGCAGCCGAACAAGAGTGTCCAGTGTCCACTGTCCAATGTCAGCTATCCACTACTGCTTTCCACCACACACGTTTCCAATTTCCCAGGCTCGGCCGGTGACATTTTAAATGAGAGCTGATTGAATGCCACGGCATTTACAGCGCACTTTCTTGAGCTTAATTCGATCCAGTTTTCTGATTAAGGAGAGCTGTAACCAGGCTTTTCTCTTTGTATCCTATTTGCATCTAGATCTATGGTGGTAGGCCCACAAGGGATGGCTAGTTTCGAAATGGTATCATTATGATTGCTGAACTTACCCGACTGACTGCCCCCGGCGATTTGGCGCATCTCCTTGGTGAACTCCTTGTTGCCGAACTGGCAGGAGAGGTCGTGCACGGTGCGGGGCTCGCCCTTGTCCAGCAGTCGCTCCAGGAAGAAGAGCAGCGTCATGTTGCGTGCCATCTCGTACTCCATGGACTCCATTGCAGGGCCTGCTGTGTCCGCTATCCGCAATTCGCTATCCGCTATCTGATAACTGCTAGCTGCTATCTGCAATCCACTATTCGCTATCCGCTATCTGCTCAATTATTAATCCGGCCGAGTACGTCACGTCGGCTGCTTATCTGCGGGTAGAGAGGGAGGGAGAGGGAGAGGAGAGCGTGAGTGAGGTGAAATGGCCAACACTTATGCAACGCGCCAAGAAAGCCGGCCAAAAGGCAGGGCAGAAACTAGACAAACCGCAGGCACATATTAGTTCACACTGAGAGAAATTTCTCGGGTTTGCCCAACTCGACTTCACTCTATGATGATCACAAAACAGTTCATAATTAAAATGATTTTTTCTCTCTGTGCAGCTTCGTTTCATTATTTATTTAATACATTTGCACTTTGCCACTTGAGCGGCTGCTGTCGCTCTCTCTTTCCTGCCCTCTATGTACCTCTCACTCTCTATCTCGACACTTGTCTTTTGCATTGCATTGTTTTTGTGGCTCGCCTTGCACTAGTTGAAAATATTCGGAGCAACGGCGGCCGGTTGCAGAGCCATAAACTTTGTTTTGCTTCGTGAATAATTGAGGAGCACAGACTCAAGCGAATGGAACACGTACGAAGGAGTTGCTTCCGTTGCTTCCGTTCCGGGCTGCGACTTCCTTATCCTTGCGGCATGTCCTTGCGCGCCGCTCGAAAGTTTGAAATCAACTGGCAGTTTCCTGCGCCCACAACATAAACACCGGCGAATTCAGCCAGCTGACTGTGCGGCGAAAGAAGGAGTCACCGTCACGGCGAATTGGCATCAGTGTTGCCAGCAGGGAATTTCGAAACCGTCAAAATCGGCGACTGAAAACAGTGAAAACTCGCTAGGCCACAATTATCAGTACATAGAACCAAACCGTAAATGACGATTAAACAATTGCATATCTGCTCTCATTCACTTAAAGATTCATGAGCAAAAATCAAATTACCGTAAGATCTCCGGAGCATTTTCAACATAGCGATGATGGACTGTATGGGAACGCGCCAATTGGAATTTGCATGGGATAAGTGCAAATCAGACTCTGAGCACAATGGGATTTGGTTGGACATTTCAAATGGAATTCGGTGGGAATCAAAAGTTGGCGATCAAATGTTGGCACCTCGACGGGGCTATGGCTATATATATATCAACTTTTAATTTGTTTGTTGCTGCCTCTGCTTTTTGCCGCCGGTTGGCATGTGAAAACTGCCAGCGCTGCAGAACAGGTGATTGACACAGAAAGAAAGGTACAAATGTGCAGCGGAAATGAAAAAATGAAAAGCGTAAGCTCCCAGGAGTGCATATTGCTATTTTGCCCGGCCGAAGAGGACTTGCCACTCATTATTGTTATCCAACAGGAGGGCTGCAAAAGCCAATAAGAGCTGCAGGTTTAGCTGTGGTGTTGGTGCTTTCCGATTGATAAGCAGAAACCGTTGACAACAAATATGTATTGAGAACGGCAAAAACAAAGCACACACATTCCACACACAACCAGCCGATGTGTGTGTGTGTGCTGTTCGCTGTACAGGTATTCGTGCGATTGTATGGGTGGCAAAACAAGAAACTCCAGACACACCGATAAAAAGAAGAGTCTTATTAGAAGCGAAAGAGTGGGCAAGTGCGCGATGCGATGACTAAAGAAAGGTAAAAACAATAAAGGAAAAGAAAATAATAGCTGGCAGAGAAAACGCGCAAAATATGCAAAAGAAGATCAGTCATAATTACCTGTCAGTTAATCACTTGTTCGCCTTTTACCCTTTTGTTTGTTTAAGTGCACTTGTGATCTATATTTAAATTGATTGGCGCACACACACGCGATACAGATCCTCGCGTTTGGGATTTCTCACCAGATCTGCGATCAGATCTTAGTTTTAGCTTTTCGTGTCACTACTGCTATTGCACTGGCGATTTCCAATTGGGCTTCAATTAATTAACATTTTTCGGCGCAATTAACGCATACACTTGCAGAAAAACTGCGACGAAAGCAGTTAGTTATTTTCGTAGCTATGCTGCTGCTGTTGTTGTTGTGTCACTCACACACTCATGCACCCATATGCGCGCTGGTCAGGTAGGTTATGTAGTTGTGTGCGTGTGTGTGTGTTTGTTAGGCACTTTGAACTGAAGGCTGGTAAAAAGTGTAAAAACCACTTGTTGCACCGTGTTAAAGGCACTCGGCCAATTGGAGAGTGTCGCACGTGAATTTGCGACTCCGGCCGGTTGGCGGGCAACTAAAACGCACTTGCAGGCAGGTAAAAAACGGACAATTGGCACGGTTTTCCGAGCGGAGCGGAGCGATGCGATTTGATGATGACAGCGCCAACGCGAACACACGAACACAAGCGCATCGAAAAACACCAACGAATCGAATTTAGAAGGCGGGCGGCGAAGCGAAGGCGGTGGCTAGTGTGGCCAACGGTTCGGTTGGTATTTTACGAGCCGGGTGGCAACGTTGCGCGGCGCGACCGTTACGCAGTGTGACCGTTACGCATTACTTCGGCTTTGGTTTTCGAAACCATTTTGAAAAATATTAGCCTTCCCTTTCAGATGCCTCAGAATTAAATCTTGTCGTTTAATATTATCACTATTTTACGAGCCGGGTAAATCTTTCGATCAATTCAATCACGGGAACTTCTTGTGTGCATTAATAGCTCTGAATTAATTTCATTTACTGCACAACCCTCAAAAATCATGTCATAAAGAATATACAATATTTTGAAACGGTACATATAAATGTTGTTATGATGGGTCATGTTTTTCCTAAAGCATTGTTGGTGCTGTAGTCAAATTCCCACCATAAACTTACTTTTTTAACCTTAGTTAAAACGTTAAAACAATTGCGTTCAAGACATTGGTAGCTTACTTTGATACATCCTTGAAAATATCTAACAGCATGCGCTTACTTAAACAAAGCTTTAAACAGGTGTTTAAAGTGTCCATTTATTTAGCATACTTTTAGACACATGTAGAGAAATATTTTCAGTCCTCCATAGAATTACAGAATTACAGTTACCAGCAAGTTTCCTTGCTTTCTAAGCTTTCCCAACTCATTTGTGCAAACACAGGCAATTGTTTGTTTAATAGATGAATATGCATTGTTGAGCTTACTGAGCACATTAAGCTATAGTCAAATAACATTACTAAATGTTATAAAGATCAAGATGGCTTATTGTACAAAAATAATGAACTCTCAATTAAAAGAAAACTTAACACTAACTCCTAATAATCACATCCTTTAGTAAATTCTTAATCGATTAGGTTTCAGTGTCAATTAATGGACTACTTCTTATTGTAGGATTCTTCAAGAGAGAAAATAGTGTACCCTCTTTCTCCTTTTCAAAGAGGGACCCAAATATTAAGTTTCTATGTCTACATTAACATTTCGGTCAAAATGTTTTCCCTGGCCTTTTGAGGTACCGACTCCCCACCATAACTGTGATAACTACAATTATAGCTGTTATAAATGCATATGCATATTTCCTCTTCTGGGAAATCTCCTGTCGCCTCAGCCACCGCAGGAGGAGTAGAAGGAGGAGGAGGAGCAGTTGTCGCTGGTTGTGGAGGGCGTCTTGGTTATGGACGTGGGCGAAGTCAAAGAAGAGCGAACTCGATGGAGTAGAGGAGGATCTGCTGCTGGACGGAGTTGAGGAGGAAAACGAAGAGCCAGGCCGCGAACCTGAACTGGAACTCGACGGAGTCCATGACCTAGAGGGACTGAATGATGTGGAAGAGGACGGATCGGTCGAGATTGAGCCGGATAAGGTGGTGGCACCATAGGCGGTCGCTACGAAGACAGCAAGACCAAAGGCAAGGAAGAATTGGGGTCTCATCTTGGTGTCTATCTGTATTTATAGGGCCTATCTGGAGCTGTGGGGTCCAAAATCTGAATCTGTGCGCAGTCTACATATGATCTAAACATGTGGCCAAGTGTTTTATTCTGGAAGTCTGGAAATTAATGAGGAAGGAACGAAAATTAGCTCTGCAGCGAAACTTTGGCGGTTATTTTGAAAATTATTTCTGCAACGAACTTTCTAATCAGAGTATATGTACATTCGAATGTTGAGAAAGTTCGTAGGGTAAATATATGTGAATTTCATAATTTAAATGTTCATTACAAGTGGAGCGATGGATCCCCTTTTTATGAGGCATTCAACACATTCATGACTCTTACTTTTTCTGCATTTCTGTCTGGCATTTTATTTCATATTCGTAGACAATTTATTCTTGATTTTTACCATCAATATAAGGGCCCTAAAGCCATTACTATTAAGCGCTGACGCGACGGACTCGGACCACTCGCCTCGTAACACCACTCCCCTCCTGGTTTTCCAGACGGAAGTGATCATTAGGAGTTAGTGCTAACTTTTCTGTTATTGAGAATTTATGCTTCATGTACAATAAGCCATAAATATGGACTTCTGTGTAAAATTCTCAACAATATGTACATATTTATCTATTTACTAAATAATGTGCTGTGTTTGCACATATGCTAAGAATACATTGAGCCAGCCTGTCAAAATGCGGTATTGTTTAGCTAGTAGGGAATTAGATCTTTCCACAGCCATCAACAGCCTTCGCTCTTACAGAGACGATTGTCTAGTCTTTTTATTGGATTGAATATATTTGTCATGACAAGAATGTAAAGAGTACACTAAAACAGTCAAAGCAAACACAGATTCAGCAACTAAAGCGAAACAATCGGATTTTCCCTATAAATACTCGGATTTAAGCCGTAATCTACACAGTACTCCATTTTGTAACAAACTGAGCTGAAGATGCGTTCCCCATTTGTAATCGCCTTTGGTCTTTTGGCCCTGGTTGCAACTGCCTCGGCAGGCAAGACGCCCGGGTCATCTCCAGCCGCGTCGCCACCAGCACCGGCAGTCACGCCGCCCGGGTCATCTCCAGCCGCGTCGCCACCAGCACCGGCAAGCACGCCAACCCCGGCACCTCCAGCTACTTCACCTACCCCAGCTCCTCCTGCTTCGCCCGATTCCCCGGCCAGCAGCTCGTCCTCGTCCAGTGGATCCAGCACCACCCAGCAGGAGAAAAGGCTCAGGCGCCAGGTGCGCAGGCTGAGGCGCAAGCTCCGCCGCCAGAGGCGTCTGGAAAACCAGGAGGGGAGTGGTGTTACGAAACGAGTGGTCCGTGTGGTCCGAGTCCGTAGCGTCAGCGCTTAATAGTAATGGCTTTAGGGCCCTTATATTGATGGTAAAAATCAAGAATAAATTGTCTACGAATATGAAATAAAATGCCAGACAGAAATGCAGAAAAAGTAAGAGTCATGAATGTGTTGAATGCCTCATAAAAAGGGGATCCATCGCTCCACTTGTAATGAACATTTAAATTATGAAATTCACTTATATTTACCCTACGAACTTTCTTAACACTGGAATGTATATTCTGATTAGAAAGTGCGTTGCAGAAACGATTTTCAAAATGACCGCCAAACGATGCTGCCAGATGGCCGAATATCGTACGCTGCAGGGCGGATCTTCGTTTTTCAAAGAAAAGGTCATACTTACCCTCCACTTGCCACCAAAACAAAGGTTACTCCTTAATTTAATCATAATAAATCAAAATGCCGGTGGATTGGTTCGGATATGTGTACGCAGCCACGGTTGCCGCCGGAGGAATCATGGGATACGCCAAGGCAGGTGAGTTGGCAGCCCTCTGACCGTGGTCATGTCGATTGTGCAACCCATGCATTCCAGGTTCCATTCCCTCGCTGGGTGCCGGCCTGGCCTTCGGAGCACTGCTCGGCTATGGGGCCCACATGAACTCCCAGGAGACGCCACGCCCCCTGCTCCAGCTGGGCACCTCCTTGTTCCTGGCTGGGCTGATGGGCGCCCGCTGGAACCGATCCGGAAAACTAATGCCCGCCGGCATGGTCTGCATGCTGTCCGTGGCCGCCTTGGTCAAAAATCTGGCCACCTACAATCGCTACCTAATGCCCACCGGCACAAAAGCCCCTTAGGCTGCATCCCCTCCCATGGATGCCAACATGATGGACTTGCCATGAGATTGCCCTAGCTTCATTTTTCAGTCGTATTGAATAGGTTTTCTACTTTTTTGGTGATTGGGCCTTTGGTAATGCGCTGTGTCACTTTCTAAGATAGTGAGAAGTAACTGTACTTGCTGCAAATATATTTTATCATCTATGCTTTTAACTTAGGTCGTTTTTATACTCGGTTCTATGACACATTTCATAGCATACTTTCAGGCAGTTCAACCTTCCAGGTCGAATATATTAAAGAAGTCTACCATTTCGTACACTCAAATCTTTTTATGTATATTTATTCTTTAACTTAGTTTTTGTTTCTTTTGTGTGTGTGATAAATTTACAGTTTCATTTATTATAAGATGTTCAGTTAACTACAACTAAAACTTAGCTATTACATTTTGTTGCTGTATAAAAAGAGCATTAGGCTAGGTAAACGTAAATCGATGAATTTCTTTAGAATTAAGGCTTCTAACAAATTTAATACAATAATGAAGTGAATAATTTGAGTTTTCTTGTAGGCAAAGTGCGGCAAGGTAGGTATATTATCGATTTTCCAACCTTTCTAGCATTTTCCTAAAAGGAAACGATAAATATTTGTTAAGTAAAGTGTACAAATTATATATGTTTATCACATTGGAAAGTGGGATAATTATTAAATTTCCTTTCGATTGATTTGTGGCTCAGAGAATAATTTAGGTTGTCTGCCGAAAAGTGCGTGTGTAGATGAACTTTTTACAGAATTAAAGTACTATTACTATTTTACAACATTTTTTTTGCATTTTGCATTAAATTAGATTACATAATATATGCGTGTACTGAACATAACAACTTTGCTCGGCTGCTGCGTTGCACTCATCAAACAGACAATATTTTAAATTAGTTGCGGCTAGAACTAACAACAAATCAATAGGGCTTCGTACAGAGTATAATAGTAATAAATTCTAGCTAAAAACACTTTAAGCTGCAAACATTTCCTCCAATTTCGATGGCAGTGACGTCTGCGTGCCAGTTCCAAACGTTTCCCAATGCGGCTGCATTGCACTTTCACTAGAACGGAAACAGCTTCCAGTTAACCACTGCGGATGCGTGATGCGGGAACGGAACAAAAACGGAAGCGGGGAAAAAAGAAAGAAAACGCAGGAAATTAGTGATTGTGGCAGAATACAATTCTCGGGGGGCGTGCAATAACAATGGGCTAATTAGAAAGGTTTCTTTCGTATGCAAAAGATAAATATTATTGCATACGCCGGCCATTTTAAATTGTGTGGGTGGTTGTGTGGTATGTGCGTGTGTTCCATTCCATGCGTTTCCACTTGCCAAATTACTCTGTTTCACGCTTGCCATTTTGCAGTCTAATTTTTAGTATGCAGAATGCGTTCTTGGTTCCATGCCACTCTTCCAGATCAAATAGAATACTTAAGTGCTACAGTTAAAGATGTTCTGATATAGTTTCGATCGGTTTTGCCTTCAAACAGTGTGTATGCATGTGTGGTGGTGTGAGAGATAGAGCGTGTATGTGTAGCTTATGCTGGTGTGTGTGTGCATGTTTCAATGCCAATTGGTTTAAAGTTCGATTTTATATTTTTTTTTTATTTGTATGTATGGGGCGAGTGTTCTATGCAGTTTTGAAAAAAAATAGAGCGAGAATTAAACCGCGCAATTAGGGAAAGAATCGGCGATCGTCGTAATCGATAGATAGGTGGTATGAGAGATTTCTTCAAGCATGCTTTATGAGGTCTGCGGATGTGTGAATGCGAATGTCCTAACCGAGCTGTACCCGCCTTTCGGAGACAATGATTTCGTTTCGAATCGGGTGGTCTGAAATGAAATTCTAAGTTACGCTTAGGGTCATGCCAAAATAAGATTCATTAACTACTTTTCGGAATGCTTTCAAGGCGACTCCGTGCTACGGTATTAAGTATGATCGATGCAATGCCAGATGACCAATGCTTAAAGTACGAGGGTAATCCATATTATAGCTAAATGGACCGTTACGCATGAGTTTAGCACTTGCACTTCGATACGTCGACCTTGACAACCAGGATTATGCATTTTTTAGAGGCCAGACAGCGTGGTAGATAATAATACTGCTATGACTATCGCGTATCCATGCTCTATACTCTAGGCCAAAGCATTAGACTACTAGGGGGAGTTAAGAACCCGACTTGAGTGCTGGATTGGTTTTGGGCTTACCGCACGCAAGGATAACGAATCGGTAACGGTTTCGATTTCGATTTCGGTATCGGTATCGGTTTCGGTATCGGTTTCGATCGGTTTGACATTGTGTGTGTTGCGTGTTGCGTTGTATAGTGTGTGTGGTCTTGTTTTTGATGTTGGATGGGGAGCCTTCGGTTCTTTCGGATGTTCGGTTTGGTTTCTCAAGCAGCTTTATGGACCGGATCTGTGATCTGTGACCTGTTATCTGTTATCTGTGTTTCTTTCTGGCTAGCAGTAGGTGGTAGCTTATGCTAATTGCTATCAATGGGTTGTCTGCCACGTCCTCAGATCGTTTGCGTTTACATGACTCGTGTGCGGCGTATGAGTTTTTGTGTCTTGATTTTGGGTTTCTTGGCGGTCTCCGTGGTGCTCGACGCACTGCTACTGTTGTCCAACACCGCTGGCAGATTGTTTGTGGTGTCGCCAATGTAGTTTGTCGCATACTGCTGCTGCTGCTGCTGCTGCTGCTGCTGTGGCTGACTACTGCTGTTATTACTACTGCTACTACTAGTTTTGTATGCCTTAAGACTACTCCGATGGGGCGTACGTTTCAGAAAGTGGCTGCCATCGGGCTGCTGCTGCGCCAGTTGCTGCACTTGCTGCGGCTGCGCCTGCTGCTGCTGCTGCTGCTGCTTGCTGCTTGTTGCGGAGCTGACAGACGACGACACGGAGGTGGCGGTGCTGCTGGTGGCCGATCCACCGTCATGCAAGGCTCGCAGTTTTTTAAAGTACGCATCGAGAAATGATGATGTGGTTATCGGTTTGGCGGTGGTTGGTGTGGGTTTTGCCGATGTTGCCGATGTTGCTGATTTCTGCGCAGCACTTGTTGCTGCTGTGGGTGTTGTGGGGAACTTACGTTTTTGCCGCTCAATCGCTTCATTGCTCTGAATGCCGGCAGTCGCCTCGTTCTCCTCATCGGGCAGCCCATCCTGGTGTTGCTGCTGCGCCTGCTGCTGTCTCTGGTTCTCGTCCTTGTTGCTCAGTGGCTGTTGCTTTGCCCCATTGTTGTTGCTGTTGATGTTGCTGCTGCTGCTGCTGCTGCTGGTTACACTATAATTTGTAAGGCGTTTTTGAACCAAGGGGATTTCGACTATCGACTGTTGTTGTTGTGACTGCTGTTGCTGTTGTTCTGGTTGCAATTTGGTAGCATGTTGTTGTGTCTGTAGCATGTGTAAATAGTATTCGATTTGTTTGCGTAGTTCGTGTGTATAGATTTGGAAAAGGTTCGGTGTTTGTGTGGTTGTGGTTGGCCTGCGAGTTGATGTTGCAGCGAGGTCACCGTTCGTGGTGGTGCTGCTGCTGCTGCTGCTGACGCTGCTGCTGATGCGCGTCGTGACCAGCACGCCATTGTCCTGCACCCATTGTCGTTCGGGAAGGCTGCGGTGCAGATAGCCAAAGGACTTGGACCTTGGCTTTTCGGTGCTTGTGGTGCGCACAGTGGTTGTCGTCATGGTTTTGGCGGTTGTTGTCGACTGCACAGCAGCGACGCCAGCTGCAGAGCTTTGCTCGACCTTGTTGTCCTCCTGGTTGGCCTCCTGCTCCTCGCTGCTAGTGCCCTCATCCTGCTCCTCAATACTCTCAGTCTCGTCCTCTTGGGACTCGTCCTCACTACTACTCTCAATATCCTCAGCTGCATCTTTCTTGTTGTCGATTTTGCTAATGTTGTGGTTGGTTGTTGTATATTTGGGTGTTGGTATTGTTGTTGTACCGAATTGGTGTGTGAGGGTGTAAAAGTTTGTATATTAAAAATTTGCATTCTGAGTGTATTCGTGTACTGGGAACTCAAATATTATGTGGTTCTGGTGTATTTTTAGTAATAGGAGTACTCTTAGCTTACACAACAAAAACTACTGGAAAACAGTCGTCTTCTAATTAAATTACCCATTTTACTATACTCACTTGTAGACTAAACGATAATTGTGTCCGTAATCGGGAATGATGTTGGAGGGCAGTGGTGTACAGCGACCATCCAGGCAATGCTGAAAAGTTTAAGGTAAACAAAAACGATCGAATTTAAATAATTTACTTTGTACACAGTATCGGACATTCAATGCTGTACGCCTAAAAGAGCTGTCCGTTCAGCGAGCTGTCCGTTCAAGGGAACTTCTTGCGTGGTAGCTCAGAATGATCGCATTACTTACATAACCATTTCCGCAGGCCGATCCCTCGGCCGCTGGCCTGTAGGCCACACAGTATCCCGTCTGGGCGTCGAAGCAGAAGAGCTGGGCACACACTCGCTCGTCCTTGAAACAGGCATAGGTTCCCCGATCCCTGCGGCACTGGGCGTCCAGCGAGAGCAGGGTTCCTGGCAGCGATCTACCCAGAGCGCTGTCCTCATGAGGGGCGTTGTGCAGGCAGGTGGCCGTGTCTCCACTAAAGAGCAAAGCGGAGTCATGAGTACCTTTCGGAACCGTACAGAAAATATCATGGCAGCAGCTCACTTGAGGAAGTGGTGGAAGCTCTGCACCGTGCAGGCGGACCATCTGAAGCCCCGCTCCGTGTGACGCAGATCGGACATGATGTAGCCATCCTCCCAGCGGCACCGCTGGGCGCCCGGTCCACCCAAGTAGCTGGGCGGTGGCGAGCCGTCGTGCACCGCTCCCAACCTGAGAAACGAGCATGGGACACATTATGATTGAGGGGCACAATATGGTAATTGATTAATTGCACGCCGAATGATGTCAAACGGAAATGCAAACGGGTTTCAGTGACCAGTTTGCAGCGGCGGAAATTATTCATGTTTTTTATGCGATCGGGCGCCCAATGAAATCCGAATCGTTAAATTCGGTGTGTGGCTTTGACGGCAATACTCGTAGTCCGTTTTGCACGAATATTCAAAGAAAGTGAGTAGGTCACATATAGGAATATAGTGTAGGAATGGAGTTATTAATGTGATACTCTAATAGCAATCACATTCCACGCCTTTCAAGCATCTCGCGTCGACTGCAAATGGATGGGGTCAAGTCAGGGGGCTACTCACAGGTGTCCCACTTCGTGGGCAGCCACGATGATGCCGCTGAAGCCGCCGGTGTCCTCGATGATGGCCACGCTGTTCACCTTCTCCAGTCGCTTGTTCACCACGCATGCGCCACCGACGTAAGCGAAGCCTTTTCCGAAAGAAAACACACGACCGAAATGAGGCAATTAGTGGGTTGTCTTACTCAGTTGCATTTTCTTCTTTTCTTCATTATTTTTCCTTTTTTTGTTTTTTGTTTTTCGTTTTTTCGCTTTTGTCCAACAGGAAGTTGACAATTTTTTCGAGTCGCCGTCGCCATCGCCTTAGCCGTTGCAGTTATTAAATGAAAAATCTAATGTTTCTGTTTTCGCAACTGAGCAGCAATTTGCTTGTGTTTTCACTTTCGAACATCGTATTAAAATATGTTTTTACATAATAACTGTAACCGCTGGGAGAAGCGGGTCGCTTAGTGGTTGTGACTTGATGCGAGTTAGCAATTAGTTAGTAGCTGCATTTGAGTGTGTAAGTTTAGCCACAATTACCACAGTGTGTCCACAGCCCATAAAAGTTAGATAGCTGCTTTAAGTGTTGTGCCCAGTTGACCAAAGTTAGTAAAACCAGCACCCTTCTTAAGTTATAAAGTTACGTTGTATTGTTGTATAAAAATCCTCACAATGCTCATTGACATTTTGCTAGCATACTTTACAGCCATTCTTCGGAAGACTTGAATTCTCCAGAGAATTCTCCTGATCATGGATACTATGTACACGAAATGCGACAGATCGAAAGCAGCAGAAGAGACCGTACAATGTGGGGCAGGAGAAGATTCCGCCTCCCCGTGGGGGAATCAGATTGGTTTTAGTGACCTGTACAGTTTGACAGGCATTGGTGGTACGGCGCATGCGCAGCCGCTTCCTGTTCTTGTTCTTCTCGCTGTACAAGGGGCGCGTGCGACACAAACAAAGACGGAAAGAGAGAGGTGGACCAGCAGCAGACAGAGATGGAGACAGAGAGCGAGACAGAGAGAGAGAGAGGGAGAGAGAGAGAGACAGAGACGTGCATGAAATTCAATTAAATTCGCTTGATTTGGTTGATGATGGAGCGACGCATTTTGGGGTTCGGCGGTGGCCGCCTTTAATGTTATTTATTTTTAGCGCGTTCGCTTAACTTCTGTGTTTTTGTCTTTCGTATGGCTTTTGCGTTTATCTGTACAGAGGTTGGCTAACAAAATGCCAGCTAGTTGGGTCTTTACCTGCGGTACCGCGATTACATTCACCATAAGCGGAGGTGCGACGGCACATATCGAGTCTGCGGGCGAAAATTGTTCAGAAATGCGTAGAAATTTTAGATTCGGTTGCTTTCGGGGGTTTTCGGCGTCATTTAATCAATTATCTCCTCTCGGCTTTGAGCGACAGCTACTGGGTTAGTTGATAGTTGTTGTCTCGCTGAACCTCACTGGACGACCTGCCCAATTGGATTCGCGGAATTGCGCACCAATATTGCGGGCTGGCTGCCTTTGTGGAGTTGAGAGCAGGAAAAGAGGCGGAAGAATCCTACCTTCGGAGCTCCGAAGTCTGAGAGAACTACTGTAGCTAATGTAATCGACGGATTTGTTGGGTTATTGTTTCCATAAAGGGTATCCGCTAATTTACTAATTTACGCGCATGAACCACAATTAAATACCAAGTCTTGATGTAAATGTTCGCTTCAACCAATGAGACCTTAAAGCAGATACAAATTACTTAATAAATCAACCGGTTTTATGCTTTATGGACCGCTCCGCTACTCAAATTAGTTTAACGCTTTGCGATTTAGTTTTTCCTTTGCCTAAATGTTGTACATTTTGTGTGTTTACTGTATGTGAGCATGTGTGTCGTGTCTTTGTGGTAGTAGCGCTTATAAGACCCACACGCAGTTTTAGTCAACTTTACTGGGGTTTTCAGGTGTTTCTTGCGGCTCGAGAGGTGCAAACCAAAAACTGACTAAACTATGTTAAACACCCGCAATGACATTTGTTCTGGTTGTGTTTCTGTGTTTCTGTGTATCAGTGTTGTTGTGTTTCTGTGTTTCTGTGTTCTATGGGCAATGTATGAGTGTTGTGGGGTAAATCTAGTGGTTTGGAATTTCTTTGAAATCTTTTTACCCGCTGTGCCCTTGGTGCAACGACCTCCTTTACGCCTGCGACACATATCATACCTAGACACGAGTAGACAATTTATATAAGTGTAATTCCTGGGGGTCTTTGGTAAAGTGGATAGATTTATAGGGGTCAGATAGAGGAAAACGCGCGTAGACGAATCAGCTGTCGGTTCTGCAAAGAGAGTTCAAAACACAAGGGGCATCAGGCCCCACTTTGCAGCCCACTCACTTGGTTATGGCCACGGCAATGTCGTAGACCGGAAGTCGTCGTTCCCGGAACAGATACTTTCCCATGTCCGTGAGAGCAGCGGCCGAATCAATGGCATCCCGACCCACTCGGTTGCGCTCCAGATAGGGAGTGGCATCACGACCCTGAAATGCAAATGCGTAAGGTATTACTTATAGTAGAAAGGTGGGTTGTGCAACTAACTGATTTGGGTATGAGAGTACCAAAGGAGCCTGTGCTGCTCAAGCCCTAAGTATCTGAAACTAAAAAATGTTTGGCAATGACTGTCTGCCCATCCTAAGATCTTTGCAGATATTACCCATTAAAGTCAGTGCATGGAGCTGGCATTTATGGCTCGTAAAAGCCCCATTGAACCCTGTGACCCACATTAGAATACAGTAGGCTAGTGCGAATTGCACAATGTTCGACGAAATCGCCCAAGGAAGCTACCAGTGCGGTGATGCAACCGATTTGGCATTTGACTGGATGAGCTGTAGCGAATGGAAAGAGCGCCGAGTGAAATATTTATGGCCCATTCGGCGGTGAAAATGAAACTGGAAACCCAACTCGAAACGGAAATCAAGTGAACGTGAAAAACGTGCTGCCAAAGTCGAGCCTAGCGATAAGCAATGCCAATGCAGCCAAAGATCATCATTAGTTGCACTTGAACAAGAGTTGCGAGATGGCAAAGGCAAGAAAGTTAAGAAATTGAAAGAAACCCGATAAAGGGTTTCTTAAAGACAGCAGTTAACATTGTAAGCCAAATGTGTAAGCCCATTACATTTGAATTACTGCCCAGATAATCGTTTTATTTATCAGTGTAGATGATTATCCAGCCAGGCAAAGTCAAAGTCGTGTGGGCTTCCTTTGGAAATTCGTTGTTTTTGACTGTTAGGCCGCCCCAGTGGACAGAAACCAGTTGCAATTGTGCGTTGCATAATTGGAGCTGCAGCGGCAGTGGCAGTTGCAGCGGCAGTTGCAGTGGCCATTTCATCAGCTGTGTGCATCCGAGGGCAGCTCCAGCACCCGTGAAACCAGGTAAATCCACGGTACGTAAGCAGCCATGTCGTGACCAAAGGGGCGTTCAGATTTACCGAAGTGACAGGTACATAAATTAAAATAACACAATTGTCAATCACTTTGAGCCCTAGGCAAATCAATATGAATATGTTAATTCCGCTTTGAGCTAATCTGTGTGCCCGGACCAGTTGCGTTTCCACTTCCAGTTTCCCAGCGGCGGTGCAGGTGATAAAACCAAAGTTAAGTGACAATCCGCACTGGGTTGACACATTTGATTTGCAGCCATTTGCCAGCTGGAAACAATCTCACAGATACTCCGTCGCTCGCTCAGCTCGCTCAGCTGGCTAAGCGAAGCCAAGCCGAGCCAAAACGAAGTCGAAGTCGAAGTCGAAGTATTTTGATAAATTACCAACTAGTTGGACCGACAGCAGATGTCTAGGAAATGAACACAGTCTGACAAAGTGATCTAAGATCGCACAAGCACCGCAGTTTTGAAATCCGTATATTGCCAAAGGAGCTGCGAAACGTATCCGCTCGATTGGGGTGTATCTGTATCTGAATGTGCTTCTTAATCCAATGTGAATCCATAAGCTACAGCACTCAAGCTCTATCCACTCCCGTCAGATTTTTCGGACGCTCCGGCACTTGGATCACTTTAAAGTGCGGGCACGTCGTTCTCCCGAAAGAAGCACCAGCTCGAATTGAATTGAATTTTTTGGTAATTTTCGACAGACAACACTATCAAGAATTTTAAATGCTTCGCTTGTGGCCTTCGGCCAAGTGGGAAAGGCACTGGCACTGGTACTGGCACTCGCTTAGATTGGAATCCACGAAATTACAAATAATTGTGGTGGAATTGCACTTTGAGTGGTTTATTAGAGCAGTCTCTGTCTGGTGTGAAGATGCTTCACTCGAGTTGTTTGCCTATGAGCTTGATTGGAGTTGTAAACGCTTCAAAGACGAAAGGCCATCGTGGACTCGCTTCATAATTGAGCAAATATTGGCACTGATAAGCTGTTATTTCAGTTGCTGTTGCGTAACCGTTTCCCTAATTCGAGCAGCTGGCAAACTAATCGTTTAGCCGCTCATTTCTCTGCTCGGATCTCGAGATTCGCGATAAGCGGCCAAGTCACATGGCATGGGACGGACAAGCCTGCGGACTTTGGAGTAGACCACCAGCGGATAGACAGCCAGGCGAATGTGGAGTCTCCCGGTGCTGGCAGTTCACTGCTGGCGGAGCCACTGGACCATGGATGACCTGGCACATCTTTGATTACCGATTGCACAATTCGAGTGGTTATCACGGCGAGTGGAGCCAGAAAACAAACGCAAACATTTGTCAAATAATCGGGCACAAAAAGCGAAAAGTTATCAAAGAAACTGTCGGGTAGGACCTAAAATGTAACCGAGCCACTAAAACCGGGACCGGTTTGCCTTTCGCCCAAAAACTGAAAATAAACCAAAGCCTCACGACTGTTTTGCAATGGCCTTTTGTGCGTAATTAAAAGCAAAATGTTATATTTTAATTTAATTTTTCGGCCGCACTGGCGCTCGGCGTTCCCGCTCCTTTCCCCGGGCCGCGCATATAAATCTTGCGGCGGCATAAAGCAACTGTCAATGCAACTGCCCGTAATTTCTAGCATTTCGCAAGGCCCCCAAACTGTGGCGCGGGGTGGTGGTGGTGGACAGCCCACGCCCACTCGGCGAGACATAGGCAAAAAGAGGTGTAGCCACCGCCCATCCGCCCCCTCCAATGACATACAGTACGCTCCGACTTTCGGCGCCCACACAGCGGATAAATCGCACTGGGCGACAGGCGGCCGATCGGCCACCACCCACGGAGAGACAGGCTTTTGGGTCAAGATACGGGATATGGGACATGGGACATGGGGGACACTTTTCCTTTCCCAATACCCTGCAATGGGGCATGGCAAACAGCCGATGCCACGGCTTGGGAACGACTGCCACCATCCCAACTGAACGTTTGTTGCAAAAAACACTTTGGTTTTTAGCCAAATTGGTTTTCTAGTAAATTAGAGTCTTACCAATATGCCTAGCTTTTCGATTATATCTGTGCGTTTAGGCCACTTCCCGTAAGGGTGTTGAAATGCCCCTCGAGTGGCGGCGAGTTTTCCGGCTTTCCGACTTTTCCAGCAGCTTTTGTTTGCCTAGCCGCACGTTTCCATTTGCATTATTGCAATTTATGTGTGTCTGGCACTTGCATTTCTGGCTACCGGCACTCTATATACCATCGGCTTATATGGATGGGGATGTGGATGTGGATATGGATGTGGATATGGCAGCACGAGAAATGAGCCCTGGGGCAACACCTGGCCTGCTGGCCAGCCCTATCCCGAACTTTGGGAGCGCGGCGTCGTTAGGCGCGGAATTCGTTATGACAACTTGCAAATATGAGATCTGACTGGCAAAAGGCAGCGAGGCAGCGAGGCAGCGAGGCAGCTGGGTGTGTCGTTGCGGACTATTTGGCATTTCTGTGGCACTTAAGATGGAGTCGCCGCGATAAGAGCCGAGTGGAGAATGTCGATTGGCGCGGAAATTGGGATACCCCGGCTCTCGGACAGCAGAATTCTGGGCAGGAATGGGCTAGCAGTCGGCTCTTTCCGCGGCTCCAGCCAGCGGATCGGGTCGATTAATCAATTGGGTGGAATTCCTGGGGCTGATAGCGCGGCGCAGGTGATCACAACAAGTCATAGATATAGATTTATAAAGCCAACACGATGTATCAGATCAGATCAACTCCGATCGGATCGGAATTGGCGTGGGGGTAGCCTAAGTCGGCTACCGACTTGACTTGAACTTTTATCTGTGACATTTAATTAACATTTTAATTAATTGCGGGCAACTTTCCGTTAGAAGTTAAACAACCTGCCCCTTTTGTCCACACTCCCCCTCCGCCACCGATTTCGTGTTTTTTTTTTCTATTTTTGCTACAAGTGTCGAACGCATTGGCGCTGCGCTTGCGCCACACACATATTTCAATGCGGCCAACTGCGGCCACGTTGCGTATGCGCAATTTATTAGGTGCGTATCGTGTGGCGCGCATGGAGAAATATGCCAAAGCTCGACGGGCTGTTACTTAGTATTAGGTTTCGGGGGGCGACTCAAAGCTCCTGCTAGATATAATGTGCATTTTATGGGAACTAATTTATTACTACCAGCATTTAATTACCTCGACATATCGCTAGCTGAATTTCAAAAGTAATTTCAGCTAGGAAGGAATAGTTCTGCAGCGAATCCACCTTCCCTTACCCATTCATACTAAAAAACCATTTAATATTGCCCTGGCAAAATATAATCTTGGGCGCTAGCCACTCGATTAGAATTTTTGATTTAGACAAGTCTCGCAATTCGCGTTTAAAAGTAACTGGGTTGGCACTCGATCAGCGCTCATTGTTCTGCCCCTGCGGAATAAAAAAAGTGCTTTTAACCAGGCTAGTAGCGCATTTGCAGTTTCTAACGCCTTCGGACCTCAATCGAAATCGTCAGAGTTACGCAGTTTATGGCTTATTAATGTGGCGGCGTTTTGTTGTCATTTTGCTGTGGCTTATTTATTTGCTTTTGGGCTTCGAGTTAGAATCAATTAATTGAACAACTCTCCGAAGTTGGGGCCTAAGTAATTCTCTTAGTTATTTGTCAATGGGTGATTAATTTATGTGACTGTAGATTTCGTGCCTGGGCTGGCTTTTTGTTCTATGAAATAAGCGATTGGCTTTCGGTGCTTTGTTGCTGGCATTGGGGTCAAGTTGCTTGGGTTTTCCAAAGCGAAACTCGCACTCATATTTTATGGTTTAGCCTGTGAAGTGATCGGCACGAGCTCCTGTTGGCCAAACAATCTACTTAGCCAATCTCTTCCGATAAAATGACTCAAAAATCCAATAAATTCGCTCGGATTACCTGTTTCTGCGTCTGTTTCATTGCGTCGACTTATCGGATATGTGTATCCAATAATTTGTTGCCCAATCCAAATTCTGAGTAATTACCCGGCTTCCACTACTCCACTTCTGGCAACATTAATTATCGCGGCAAAAAGTGGAAAAAGCTTAGCGACGGATGCTATATGTTAAGATACTAAGTACCTGTATCCACCAGATACGCACTTTGCATCTACCACCTCGGTGTGTGTGTGTGTTTTTGTGTGTGTGTGAGTGTTTGTGGGGGGCATAGAAGAGGAAGTCATGTGTGTGTGAAATTGGGCAAAGAGGAAAATAAAACATGCCAGCCGAAAAAATCTGATCTGAACTAACTGCCGACTGCAGTTAGCGTGGCCCATTAGATTATGTAACCACGGCCAACACGCAGTTGCAGCAGGCGCTGTTGCATTATTTATGCGGTCTGAAAATGATTTTTTGGTTTAGTTTTAGTTTTTGCCGAGCCAGAAAGGCAGACAGCCAAAGTTACCGCCAATTGACGTACTTAGGGTAACCCGTCGACATCGGTGTCTCCTCGATGCGGAGTTGTCGTGTGGGCAGCCAGCTCGATGCAACTGCAATTGCAACTGCAACTGCCACTGCTGCAGGTGAACCACTCCATCCCCCCACTCGCTGTGCCAATTTTCCACTTTCTTGGCCCACTCTCTACGCTCTCCAATCTCCACTCTCCACTCTCTTGGCCAACTACAAATGTCTTCCTGAAGCAGCGCCAATCTGATTTGTGTGAGAAAGTCTGGCCGAAAGTCTGAGTATTCGAGTATTCGAGTATTGAGACGGGTCGAGACGAGACACAAAGCCACGATGCTATAATGTTGTCAAAGTGTTTTATGGTCTTCGCTTATGCAATCAAATTAGTTGAATGTTGATAAGTGAAAGATGTTAGCAGACATCAAAGAGCTCGCTCACGACACCACAGCCCGCTGTAATAGGAAATCAAAGCCATATTTTTAGGCCATTGGTCATTTTTCCCCAGAGGCTTCTAATACGTTTAGTTTCTGCCACGTGCTGGTAAAATGTATGACTTAAGCCAGCTTTGAGTGGTTTTTATGACACATACACGTATGATAATCTTGATTTTTCCAGCTGGAAATGAGTTTAAAAACGATTTAGCCACCTCAAAGCAGTTTAACCCAATTAAAAATGCTTGACACCGATACCACTACCTAAAAACCCATTTCAGGAAATCTTAAAAGTGCCAGAAGGTTAGATCGAATTTTTTTGGCCAACTCGGTTCGCGTGCCCATAACGAATTTTCGTCGCTAATTTCTAGAAAAACATTCAGTCAGTTCCACAAAACACAGAGCACGAGTAAAAAACTTGTTAAAATTTGCTGGCCTGGCTTTCTGCTTTTTTGTGCTATGGCCAAGCAAATAACCAAATTGATTGTTCACATTTTTTCTAGCGAGTCGCACGAAGCGCATGCGTTGCATGTTTCTTCAGCCTGTTTTTGCTGCCACATTCCCAGATCGTGACAGTTCATTCGGAGTGGGGTCCAGATTACTGGGCTAGCTGGGGGCTACTTGGGCTTCGAAGGAGAGCTGCCCGATTGGCAAGACCCAATTGGCCAGGGGTTAAAGTTTGGCTACCCAAATGGATTACTCAATTAGCCAAATGAAAGTTGAATTGCTGCGATTGTGTAATGATCCAGCTGGAGGGCTATTTAAAGGAGGCTGACTGGACTAGGTAGCCTTTGCTCAGAATATTTCTATCTTTTGGGTATTCTCTATAACTTACCCTCGAAATGATGATGCCGGCGATACTGATGCGGATCCTGGGACCCTTCAGCAGGCGGTAGCGCAGATCGACTCCGTTCCAGAACGAGATGAAGTAACGCTTGACCTGGGAAGAAACAGAAGTTATGTTAGTTCTTCTTTGGGCACAATGCACGTTTGTCCTTGTCAGGCAGTCCCATCTCCATAAGGCTTTCATCTGAGCCGCATCTCCGGGTTCTGGGTATTCTACGAGTCTAGAACGCACCCAGATCAGGCAGACAAATAAATCTTGAGCGCGAGTGATGTGCATGACAATTGAATCAGGTGTTTCGGCAACTCTGGCTTGGAATACCTGAGAACATGACCAACGCTAATAAATCGTACACTTTGATGTAGGAGGCAAATATGATTTAACTGCTCGAGCTACAGAGATTTTCCGTGGCTCTAATAAAATATATGCTTTAATAAATCGGCAATTCCCCTCGGGGATTCGGGTCGCATTCGCAACCAGACCTATCTATCAATGCGAGCACATGTCTCGCTCGCATAATATGTACACATGTAGCGCACAAAAAACAACTTTTACAATCCTCAGACTTCAAAATCCCCTCCGGGCTGGGCTGGATACCATATCGACGCCATGGTATCGCGGCTGAAATCCGCGCGCACGCAGAGACTCAATCCCAAACTCAATCCGAGCTGTCTGCAATTGCCGAAACAACTTCATTGGAGCCAGCGGCATTTAATTTCTCTCTTCAGTTTGTACCCCCCTATTTTTTTGTGGCCCTGTCACGCACACGTACCTGCAGATTATCGCCGCCATGGAGCCGGTATCCATCGTAGTCCACGATAACCAAGACCTCCGGATAGATGATATAGGGGGCCTGCCGGCGGGATCTGGTGCGGGACTCGGCCACTTGGGGCTCTCCGTCCAGGGCGCCCTCGTCCTCGTCGTTGAGGTCCTCGAAGTCGGGACTGCTGGGTGCACTGCGTCTGCTGCGACGCTGGCGGCGCTGCAGCCTCTCGAGCTTCTCGCTGGCCTGCAGATCATCAGGTTCCATGAAGGCTGAATGACCGAGAAAAAGGCGAATAAATAATAAATACCAAGAGCAGGAAACGGAGAATTAAACAAAAATTAAGCAAAACCGAGTGGAGGAATGTCTTTATTATGATATAAGAAGCTGGCAAGTCAGGTAGCCACACACTTAACTGTATTGGGTATCATTTTTCGGGGGCATTTCGGCAAAGCCGACAGTGGAAAAATAAGTTTCTGCGGCGAGAAATACCGGGCATAAAATAAATAATTTTACAGCGATTATCGCTGGAATTTTGGCGCCACCGCAACGGCTGGGGTAAATGCATTCAGTGAAGGGCGAATTGTTGCATTGAACTCTTCACTCGTGGATATGTGAATATGCTGCTCTTTTTTCGAGGCAGGAAATGCTATCGGCAGCACGTCGATCTCCAGCTGAAGATTTATGGGCCACGGCTTAGACCGGGGTTTCTACGGCTTTCTATGGGTCAATGGGCCCATTAGGCACGTAGCCTGCTTCTCAATGGCTTCAATTAATGCGGCAATGTCAAATGAATCTTACCAAAGTCACTCAGTTGGTCTTCTGCTGCGGATGCCTCCCGCTTGTAGATGATGTGGTGCGACTCCTCCGGATTGGGACTCAGTTCGTGTGGCAAGGGCTTGATCACCAGATCGTGACCGATGCTGCCCTCCTGCAAGAAGAAATGTTTGAAATGAGTGAGTTGGCCAATTAATCAGGGGCGAATACATCAGGCTCGGGGATTAATGGCTGGCCAAGTGATAAATAAGGTTTTCTTGTGCGCCAGCTGACTAAAAAGTAATACTAGCAGGCTTAATGGCATTAAATTTCCATCGACATTTGTCAAACCACTGACACCGGCGAACTCCATTTCGGGCGGAGCATTTAGATAATTTATTGAGCTTTTTTTACTCAACATTCTTGGCCTGCAGTCGGCCGTATGATTTGCCATATGAATATGAGTTGCGTTTGAATGACGCTGGCCAAGTCATAAAAATTAGCTGCGATTTGCATAGTGGAACATTTTATGCAAATAATCCGCGATCTAGATAAGCCGTGTTTCCACACAGTTCTCGGTCTCTCGATCTCTCGGTTCGTTTTTATCGCCTCTGTAATTGCAATAATTATTTGAGTAATACAGAGCCCGCAGACGTAACCTTGAGAAAGGTTAGAAACAAAATTGTTGGCTGAACTTCAAGACACCAAAATGCTTTCGATTCAATTTGCTTACGACTTCGTTTCAGTTTTAAGTGGCCTTTTGTTTATCGATCGGCGTACGAGCGAGCACCCACTTGGCACTAGGCGTGATCAGGGCTAATTAAGTCGCGGCAGTAATGCCATAATTAAAATATTACCAGTGAGTCAAGTCAGCTGGACACACGAGCTACTGCGATAACTGGCCACCAGCTGAGATCATGTTTAACATAAAACGCATTAAGGAAATGGAACTGTAATTGTTCTTGGCCTGAGTCAGCTACATATATCTTTAACTAATGTTTTTTGCGACTGGAATCGGTGGGAATGCACTGCTCATCTGAAATTCCCATGAGAGCAAATGGGAACAAAACGAATGACTTAGGCAGCGAACTTGATTTTGATCTCAATATATTTGAGCAGTTATTGAAAATGCCAAAAACTCAAGCCAGCACCAAACGGCAAAGTTCAATGTCCTCGCACACGCGACTTCAGTTAAATGTCAGCAAAAACAAAAACGACATGTGCCATAAACAAATTGCAAGCGAAGCAACAAACCAAGCAACAAATTGCAACAGATGACATGGGCCAAACAGTCGGCGCACTGAAAGAAACCATGTATTGTGTAAATGCCAATTACTGAAACCATTTGAGCTGTCCGCACTCAACGTATAAATCCATATCACGTTTCCTTTTCTTTCAGTGCAGATATGCAAATCCAGTGCGATTGGAAATTATTCGAGCAGCCGCCTTTTCTTCGCCGTTGCAGCATCGCTGGGCACTTGAAATATGATCAATATTTGACTTAGCGACACTTAAATGGCTTTTGGCACACAGTGCGTATGATAAATGTGCACGATAAATGCCTGGCATTCACATTGAAAGTCATTGAAAGACAGCGGAGAAGGTGTCAACAGGCTGGGCAAACAACTTCATTGGTTTCCTCGCGTTTCTTCACTTTTCACTAAAATAATCATTAATTCTGCATTTGTCGCCATATAGCCTAGCATTTATTTACGCTGCGAATTTAGTTTTATTTGCCGTTTGGCAGGTCTTTTAATTTGGCGCGACTTACTACAATTTTTCTCGGCATGTGGCAGTTAAGCGAGAGGTAGTAACAAATTTTTCGTGTTCCACTTTAGTTGCGTTTTCCGCATTTCCACCGAAATGCCAGCAGAGAAACAGAAAAAACAGTCAAGGCGTTTTGGGCGTATGTTGTGCTGATTTCAGACTTACTTAACGTTTGTTTATTCGACTCGGGTTTGTTTCGCTGTTAGAGTTCTGGTACATGTGTTATGTAACTGCCCAACTGTGATAGCCTGTAATTTCCAAACGCCTTGCCTTGAACGCAATTTATGCGAAAAAGCAATTAATAAATTACCCAAATGCGATTTATGTGCTTTTAGGCCCAACGTGTTGAAAGTTCGGCCGGGTAATTGCCACTTAATTATAGGCAAAATTAAAAGCTTTTACTTGTTCCATTGCAATCTAATGCGAGTTTTCGCTATCGAAATGGGTGAGGAAGTGAGTTTTAAGCCTGAATGTAAACAAAATACAAATGAAAGCGGTATGTTAAATGGATTCACTTCAGTCTGAATCTGAATGAATTGTAGTGTTGGAATAAGTAATTATATGTTGCTTGTTAAGTAAGTAAGGAGCAATAAGTTTGGCTTATCTCGTAAATAAGAACCGTTTAAACTTCCGTGCGACACAATAATAGCTTCCCAATCAATTTGGTGAGTTATATACCAGCTTATTTGCCCTAATTCCATTTGACCCACTATCTGATCAAAATATTTCCCAAGATTCCCACAGCTGCGTGGCCAGCACTGAGATCCAAATACTTGAAGATAATCGTGGACCTTATAATTTTCCGGCTGTCGGCAAGTGCTACGATGCCAATTACACGTCGCTCGATATCGGATGGATCGGGCAAAACAGCAAATTGCTTTCAAATCACGCAGCTTACACACCGCACAGTCTTTGGCAACGAGTATCTGCTTTCAGCTGGCCCAAAATAAAGTTGTCCGATTCCGAGCTGTCTTGTTTATGTAATCACCCACAACGCGATTGTTATATCTGCAGGAGCAAAGAGCCGATTTGGAATTACGCTTACGCTTACGAGCTTACTGCTGCTTTTTCAGCATTTCAGTTTCTTGGGGCCTTTCACACATATTTATCTGTCAGAAAGTACAGATAGACAAGTCTGATTGGCACCTGCAGAAACGCCCAGAGATCACAATCAACTGACAATGAGCTTGATTGATTTGTGATGATATTTTCGTTCGCTCCTTCCTTTATTCAATTAAATGTAAATCATTTTAAAGTATTTCTCCCCCCAATCGCCACAATCGCAGATAATCAGCAAACGGCGGTTGCATAATGTGACACGCCACAGAAAGGAGTTCACTGAACCAAAAATTTACTTACAATCAAAATTAACACCTTCTCGTATTTGTTTTCGCCTCGTTTTTTGGCTGGCCAAGAGCATCAAAGCGCTCGAATGTGCAAATACCAAAAATTGGCAGACACCGAAACACAGCAGCAGCGGATAAAGCAATACAAAAAATCACTTTGCGGCTTGTAATTTTGGGAAATTAGCATAATTTGTGCAAATTCATGACACGAACATTCGAATCAGTTTGAGCGGCGATCATCATTATAGTCATGACGGTTGCTGCTTGCCGAGCTCGGTGGCGTTACCGCCCAAAGCCGCTACAAAATGGCTGTCAATTGGAAAAGAAGTGGTCTGTGATCGCTCAGCAATCAAATTCAAATGCAAATCACACTGCATTTGTATGAATATCTGGCAGCTTTACAGTGCCTAGCAGTCTCGATCTAGAAACCTTGATTTAAAGCGATAATTATGCTCTTTTGGATGCGGCATCAATGGAAATGCGTTAAGGTGTGTGCCGCTTTAGTTTTTCCTCCATTTTTTTCGGTTATCATCTTGGTCAAGGTTAAATCTAATCGGCTCTTAAGATCGCTGTTCAATGCGAGTGCATGTAGTCGTAAACTACAGACTGACAATGAGAACAAGAACGGATACTAATGCCTCGATAGCTCAGCCGAGAGATACCCGCCGTGTTAACAGTTTGTTTACATAAAGCAGCTCGTTAAAAATATTCCGAACCCACCTTCGGGCGGCCCACTCAGCCATGGATTCTGGGTTCTGTATCTGTATATGTATCTGTAAATGCATCTGTATATGCGCCCCGGCTGGTCAATGAATATTTATACTTATAAAAGAATAAAAATCGACCACCGCCCATGGTTGCAGTCCGGTGGCCAATGGCTCAAGAACCTGGCCCACACAGCGGTTCTCGGGTTCTGCCCCACTGCAATCGCGGCAATCAAAATTAATTTGCTCACAAAATGTATCTGCCACTAGAACGCACTTTGCCGTGACTTTTTTGGTTTCTCGCCAGCTTTTTTGGTATAATTTGTTGTGATGTTGTGATGTTTGGTGCGTTGGTGCGTTGGTGCAGCAGCAGCAAGTTCAATGCGAACAGGGGCTTAGAATAGGGGACCATAGGGGACCACAGGGGCCATGTCTTTCAAGTTGCCGCGCCATCAGCTTCGGCCAGATGGAAAAGCATTTGGCCAAGTGGGCAGGCAGCCAGGCAGGCGCATGAACCAGGCCTAATGAAGTTCGAGTCGCATGTCAAAGTCAAGTGGAGTCGACATCGACATCACAATCGGGTTTGAGTGACTGCAGGTTATCCTTGCACTTAGAAGTGTCTCAGAAGTGAAGGCCTCTCAAGGTTGACGGACTGGGTGTGTGACCACCACTCAGCAGCCAAAGAATCAATCAATCTAGCCCAACAATCTTATCTAGATATAAGTGATTTTTGCCACCTGAGTGAGGCTTTTTCTCACTTAATTCTCACCATATTAAAATACCAATGAAATCTTTTTATTAATCACATATAGATTTCTAAAAACTTTGTGTCTGAATAATGGAAGTCTCCTTTCATTTGCCATCGATTAATCCGCTTAATTGAAATTGAATCCGCTGGCGGACAGCAGAGGCCCAAATTGAATCCCCATCAGCGGGCAACTATCAAATTTAACAGTCTTAAGCGTGAAAATATCTGGCTCGTGCTCAACTCCCCTTCCCAAAAATAGTGTTTGTTGAGTATGGCTTGACGTAACCGATATGACCGTTTATTAATATGCAATATGCGGCCAAAGTCTTGGAACGGCACCCGCCAGAAATGTTGTTATCATCTGGTGGCTTGCCACATCGCGTCGCACCAATTAAAAAACATTTTTCACGAGGAAATTGCAGCCACAACCCACAAAAAGGAGGAAAAAATGTGCATTTCGATTAAATAATATGAGCAACCGGGTGTAATTGAAAAACGGTTACCAGGCGGCATTCAATCCTTTGTATTCGGCGCATGCGTGGCGATCATGACGCTGCGATCGTGATGGATAGCGGTGGGTTTCGTTCGTGTCACGCTGCCATCTCTCGGTTCCAGATCCACAGATCTGCATATGAGCTGCTAGGCAAATTTGGCGCTTATGAATATTGGTAACACGCTCGTTGTTATGTCGACTCGAGTTAGTTTCACTCTAGTTTTCCTTTCGGACAAGTCGAGTTCCTTGCGGCAATCGGGTAACCGAAATCGAAAAACGAAAGACTTAGGCAACAAACTCGTCAGTTGGGGGTTGTGTCGTCCGCATAAAGCGATTTACTATATATGCATGTATATATGGCCAGGGTGGGGTATCTATGCCAATTTGCAAAACTATTTTGCATTAATTTCGCTCCAACCGAAACTCATTGCACAATGACCACAGCCGGATCAAGTGGCTTGAAAGTTTCGGCTTTAATCAGCCAAAACCCGATGCCAATATAGACATCAAATTGTATAACATTTGTAAATGTCGCCAGCGCATTGATTGCACTTCTCCCGCCTGAATGTCAAGCCACGCTAGCCCCATAAATTGTGCAATTTAACACTTGACGATGATGCGACTGCGACTGCGGCGGCTGCAAATGCAAATCAAATCAGCGGTCAGCCAGTTATTCAGATATAGAATTTACAGCCAAGAAGAGCAACTATCGAATACACGCGTTTATGCATACTGTGAACTCTTTGTAAATATCAAGGCTAGCAATTAGTTGGGAAGGTGAGAAGACTTTGGCTGCCAAGAAGATGGGGCTCTCTTGAGACGAATAAAAACTTGTTTGGCACTTTGGACATGAGTGTTGCTTAATGATGACGCCGCGATTGCCGTCTAATAGAGTTGGCCAAAATGCTGAAAGCCGTGTCCAAATGTCGCCTGTGCTACCTAATAATTCTCCTTCTTGTTTTTATTGTTGTTGCCCAACCGTTTACAGAACTCTGTTTGTTTAAATGGCAATATTGATATTTCCAGTGGCTTCAAATGCCAAATGAAAAAAGGGCAAACCTCATTAGAGGGGAGTGTGCCAAAGGTGTGACTGATAAAGTTCAACAGCGGCAAGGAAATGAAGAAGACCGACCAAAAATAATGTCTAATAATACCGTATATTAATAAGAAAATGATTCAATACTAAGCAACGATTTAAATGTTATTACCATACTAGAGATTCAAATAAATTAGAAGAACAAATTATGTTCTTGGACAAATGACTAAAGGCACGAACATAATTTCAGTGCGGAATGCGTTACATAAGCCCCTTATACAAGCCCCCTCTAATGATTTACACTTCCCTGAGTTACCTGAAGATACTTTTACCTGTCTGTGCACCTTGCCCAAAGGTTTTCGAAAGCCCATTAATAGAGAGATGCATATCACGAGTGATGCATAATTGCTCTTACGTAAGCCACTCTCTCGTAATGAAAGGTGGTTGAAATGCATTTCGTGGATTTGTTTTCAGTTTCATGGCCAAACTTTTCAGAGCAGCGGGCAATAGTAATTAGCAGTCGAAGCGCCGACATAAGATGCATACATCACCTGCAGCCAATTCATCAGAGACCGCACGCATCGTATTTTTGGATTTGACTGACGTTCGCCGCAATTAGCATTAATCAAGCTGCCTTGCCGAACCCCTCCCGCAAAAAATACGTTATTTGTTCAAGTGCATAAACAAATGACCGTAAGCCCTACGGGCAAAGAAGGGTAACTCAGAGCTATTATTACAATTTGTTCGAATTGTCTGGTTCCCTTGAGCTCGTTTCGTTTTGATAAATTTCCAGGGGCGGGGGGAGGGCAATGTAATTGGCCGAAACAATTAGCCGTCTCCAAAATGAATGTCATCAATTTTTTGAACTATTCGCGGGGCAAAGAAATATAACTCAGACTCTGGGAGTAATTGGCCGTGAAATTAATATTCGCATGTAAGAGTTTCTCTGTGTGAAATCAAGAGTCAATGTCAACATTGATTGGGTCAAATTGGATACTTTACCACTGCTGGCAGTGGGTGGCTTACAAATAATGGACACCGCACTCAAGTCGATGTTCAAGTCCAGGTCGGCTAAGGGCATACGAGGCGACCTTCAACCTCAGACATGTACATATTGAATCGCAGTCGATTTTCGGTTTTTCGGTTTCCCACACGGACAGATGATGAATAACTTGGGCTATGGGGTGCATCATTTTCAAGTATAGCAGCTGATGGTGGGAATAGTTTGATCGAAGCCCGTGAAGAATCTATAAACGCCAAGCTGACTAATGAAGCTTATTTAATAAAAAACATTTTTCGCTGTCAAACACAACAAAAGCTTGGGTATCTGATCAAATGGTGCGTGTAAGTCCACTCTTAAGTAAGCTGTAATTAAATTAAATCGACGGCAAAAACAATGTGGGTTTGAAATTTCCTTTGAAAACGTTTTGCAATGGGCTAAAAGCAGTTCGTGTCTTAAGTCTTTCGTACAGTGGACAGGCCGCAGATACAAGTTAACGAAAATAAATAAACCATTTTATCGGGAATCTAGGTCGCAGTTTTCTTCGGAATTATATTTCTTGAAGTATTTCTCAAGGCGTATAATTCTAGCGTATGCCCTTGGACCTGTTTCATTTAAAAACCAATAATCACAGCACTGATTCATCCCACTGTAGACAAATATTTTGAATGCTTCTTTCAGGTTTTGTCAGAGACTACAATTACCTAAAGTAAGACGCACATTTATATGGTCGACAACTCCTTCGGTGGCACTAATTAAGTGGCCATAAATGTGGCGTTGGAGGAGGTGGTGCCGGCTTCTCGGCTTCTCGGCTTGTCGGCATTTTTTTGAACAATGATCCGATCAACCGGGCCAGAAGAAGTCTTACGCAACTATCGCCGACCCAGCCATCTTCGACTTCTGGTTAATTACAAGTCGGCAGCGGCATCTCGATGGCGAGAAGTTTGAGAACCCGTCCGTTTAAGGTCAAAACCGAAGCCGGAAGCCCCACTGGATTTGGTCAGCACAGCTGCGTCCCAGTGTTTTTGGCTTTGGCTTTGGCTTGGTGTTGGATTTGACCAGTTGCGAAACTTTTCGCCGGCTTTGCGCCTCCAAATGTCAGGCAGCAAACATTTTTCATGCTCACATGTGTGCTGACTATTTTCTACATATTATTTATGAATTTTTCTGTTTGTCGGCCGGTGCAGCGGCGCACTTGGCCATAACAAGTCGGTCAAGTCGGACCGGCCAGACATTGCTGTTTGACCTTTTATTGGCTGTCAGTAATTATTATCAGAAATACACATTTATTCCTATCCAACTTTTTGTTTAACAAATTAAACCCAAGCAGACGTCAGCGCAGCTCAAGAAATTGCCAAAATAAAGGCCCCGAGTAAAACAGAGAGGCAAAGTTGAGGCCCCAAGTCTTATGGCTATGAAGCTTGTTTATTGACCTTATTGCTGCCAATATTTGTTGGCCATTTCTGATTCCGCCGCTCATTTGTTATCCGATCGCCAGTTGATTATTAATTTGCTTGAATTGTGACATTTGGTTGTGCAATTCTCCATGCAGCCCAAGCCGAAAAGGTTTCTATCTTTCGGTTCTTTTTCCCACCAAACCAACCTGATCTCCATTTCCACCCGCCGTGAAATGAAAAAGAAAAGAGCCCGCACACAATGGCCGGTAATTAGGCAGACTTCCTCCATGCCGAAACTTGTTCCTGCATATTGGTCTCCATTTCCGCTCGGACAATGTTAATTGCCAATTGTCTTTAAATTGAACGTCATCAGAATTTATCTGATGCTTGTTAAATGGCAAAAGCGTTATTAAATTGGTTGTTAAATAAGAGCATAAACAGAAATGGCACAAAGTACCGAGTATTATGGCAACCTTGGTAATTGGCGGTGAGGAAATAATATAATACTTGCAATTTTTATGGATTAATGAATGAAAAGTAAACAGAATTCAGTGGCCAAGAATATTCTGTTAATTGTTGTGGCTGAAGGTTAAACTGACCATTTACCAAGGCCGCAAGCTATCTATGCTGATTTCCAACCACATCGCAACCCCTAACGATCGTATTTGTTCTAGCAACATGAACATTTATGGTCTAATGCAATATATCTTGGCATTATCGCCCATACGCCATCACAATTTTCACTCCTGTCAAATTGGTCCAAGGTGCCCGCGGACAACAAAGGAGTACGACCGAGTGATGGGGTATACAGGGCAGTCGATAAATTTGAAAGCTGACAATGGATATCAAGCTGCTACCTGATGGCTTAGAACAGCCAGATAATTATAGGAATTACCCGAATTTCTTGGGTTACTTCTTAAAAATCCGTCAATGTTAATTGGGTATCCATTGGTCGACCCTGGATTTTCCTACACCTTTTTTACGTTGGCCATTTACATTTACAGCTGCCCGTTTGGCCCGAACACTTTTGCGGCGATAAATTAATGCTTAATCAGCAGAAATTGCCTAAGTCCGCAAATTATCCGCCATCGTTCTGAATATCCGATCAACGGGCGTTTAATTGTAATGCCCGCCACACAGACTCTCAAATTGAAATGGGCGACAGCCGGCAGTTAACATGGCCAAGTCCAAAACTGACCATAACAATGGCCGTCTGTCATAACAACAAGAAAATCTATCGAACAAGTACACAGCCGATTCGGAATCGGAATAAAAAAGTGCAGCAGAACAACGCCAAGAACCACCATTAATGGCCAGCGCTAATTGAAATTCTTGTGGCACGTTCATTGATTGCAGTGCAAGTGCAGCAGAACGACCTTGAGCAGTGGGTGGGGGCGGGCCTGTTCAGATTTGCACCACTTACCATTATCAGGTCGCCGGTTTCCATGTGGCGCCGCATCAAGATCGCGGCCATGTTCTTCTCGTCCTGGAAAACTTCGCCCACATCGTTGCTGTTGTGCTGCAAAAAACGAGCAATAATAAAGTTTAAAGTAAGGTTACTATTACACTATTAAGCTATTAACACGTCATAACAAGTAAGCTTAACAATAAGCTATTAATAAAATATAAAAGATGCTTGGATTTAGAAGCAATTTAATAGATTGATGTCAATACTTAAAAATGCTATGCAAATTGAGCAAATATGTTTACTAGTAAATCTAAATACAGCCAATCAAATCAAAACACACGCTTTAATAAATGTTAGACAGCTCAGCGGTGATAAAATATAATTTGTATAAAAATGCAATTAAATAACCATTTTACATATTTTTACGGGTCCAAATTCCGCACATTCCGCGAGTTGTAAAGCAAATACATGGTACACAGCCGCAGCTGGCCATTACTAAAATTTAAGGCAATTTTCGTTTTGTTTTTCCCCGTGGCATAACAAATGTACATACATTTGGTGGCCACCGCAGCCGCGTTGACCAAGACAAAACGCGTGGTTAGTGGGTAAATTTAATTAAATGCAGCTTTGGCTGGTCAGAAAAAGGTGGCAGAGGTAGGAGGACTTGGCCACTTAGTCAGGAGCTGGAGGAACTGGAGGCGCATGGGGCAGTGGAGGCTGCAGCGGTAAACCGAGCTTTGATTTATGCTCGTGGCTGGCAAATGTGACGCCTCAGCATGCACGTCACTCATACGCCGTGTGTGCCGCGGCAGACTTTAGACTGACCATGAAAATAGCGCTGCTGGCACGGCTTAAAGCCTAAGCTTCTGACATTTGGCCAACTGCTCTAGATGCGATTTAGATTTTTTGCACAGTCCAACTGTTTTCCAATCCTGTGACATAGACATTCGATTCGCATTTTCTTGCCTTTGCCATTCAAGGCGAGAGGCGAGCAAATACCCCGGGGATATTAGCCGCGAATTAGCATAAATTTAAGCTTCAGCGGCTTATCTTCGGGCCCGCTTTGGTCAGACTAATTAAATTAATTGCCTCTGCGTAGCCTGGTCATTCAATTCAATTCAATTGGATTGGGTTCTGTAATAAATATCGAAATAAATATAATCTGACACTTGACATCGGCCACAGCATTTGGCATTGGACCGCGTCCGAGGCTCAAAAACTTGTCGTGCCGGCACTCTATCAAATTACAGGCATAAATCATAACTGCCCCCGTCCGAATCTCCGAATATCCGAATCTACAGTTACTAATCGCAGTACGCCCGACCGGAGCTATAAATGGCACTACGTACACGTACTCGTATGCATCAAAGTGAGTCAAGTGCCAAAATCTGGCTAAAAACTGATTCGCAGCCATTGGCCTTTTGCTTGATGGGAGCTGTCAGCCAGAAGATAATCTAGATTTGTATGATGCATGACGCCTCATTAAACTTATTCAATTGCTCTTCAAGGAGCCATTTTTAGCAATTGGAGCGGCGCCTCAAAACCAATCATTTATATCAGATTATAGTCTCTTACGCTATTTATTGTTATTAAATCAATTGCTTTAATATTTTTTGTGCCATCTAATTGCTTATATTTAATATCCTTTTGTAGGAAACATCTGTAAGCCTAGAACACCCTTTGCAGCAATTCGGCTGAGCCGGGCAATTATTTACCGCTTCGATCGAATTACCGAGCTGTCCAGAATGGGGCGTGGTTTTGGCCAAGTTGGTTAAGTTTGTTAGGTGACCGCCAAGCGTGTGGACACGCAGCAACAACGACATACTCAAATTTTTCATGTGCAGCAGGCATTTATGGCTTAATTCGTTGTTGCTGTCGCTGTCGCCGGTTGGTTGTTGTAGCGTGTTGTACCGCTGTTGTGTAGTTGTTGTATTCGCTAGTTGGACACGACGACCTTGTGGAAAAATAAGTTCAAAGCAACAAGTGGCAAGTGGCGACCCCCACGCCACCACACGTATTTCGGCTGCCATGAATCCGAGTCGGAGCCCGAATCCGAGTCCGAGTCCGAGTCCGAATCCAAATCCAAGTCCAAATCCAAGTCTTAGCCCGATTCAGAGTGTCGAGTTGTCAACGCTTGGAGCCTGGCCAAGTGTTTTGGCCATATAGTATTTATGAACTGTCAATTGGCCACTTATTCTGCTGCTCCGTTTGCTCTTGACTCCACTTTGCATGGACATGGACCCATTCTCAATTTGACTTATTTGTTCTCTCCCTCGGCTGCACTTTTAATTAGTTGACTTGCAAATTGTAAATTGTTTGCTGTCGCGCATTTTTTCTTCGACTTCTCCACTTCGATTCCACTTCCATTGAACCCAGGCATATATATATTTTTTATTTATGGCGCCGTAAATTTTTTAATTACAAATGGCTACAAGACATTATGCAGATCTCTTTGCGGAGATTAGGCTCTGACCGGAATGTCTTTTTTGTTTGGCTGCAACTTTGTCTTACGTAAGCGGTGAATTTCTCGATTGCCCCAAGGGTCTTGCTTTGATTTTGGTCTATAATTTTAATGCTCACTTAGGCACAAACACGTTGCCATGAATGCTTTTTGTTTGACCAGAGAAAGGTTGGAGAAAGGTGAGCCTTTTTCTTCCCTGTTTGTTAAGGAGTCCGGGCAAAAGAATCTTTTAAATGACCAAATAGGGATGAAAGACCCCGGATATTCCACAACCATTATTAAAGGATCGGTAAAATATAGTGTGGAAAGCCCTTCCATTAAGCCAAGCCCCTTAAGTGCTTCACTTCAGCACTCTGCCACCTAGATATCCAAAAACGAAAGTAAAAGCCCGCAGACTCAACAACTTCCTGGCTGAAACTTTTTAGCCCATTTTCGTTGGCTCTTTCTCTGGCAATTTTGTTATGCAAATTAAGCCGAAAAGTTGAGAGAAGAAAGACACAAATGACCCGGAGCGGCGAACTTGGCAAAGTGAAAATTAGCCTCTGAACTCCATCCGATTTTTTTTTTTATTGTGGGCCGAAGCGAGAAGAAGGTTAGGGCATTAGTCTCAGGCCCTTAACCCAAGCGAAAAGAGACGATAATTCGCCATTGTTCGAACTGCTGGGTAAACGAAAGTTCAACTTTCAAACGGAAAAAGAGTGCCTGGTAGATCCCACACAATTCTCCAGTTTGGTGCGCACCGTGGGTCCACGAGCCATTTAGCCAAGTTAACCGACAATTAACGCATTAGACGTCGTGTGGGCGTCGCTGTTGTTGGCTTTTTTTGTTTGCCCGTTGATTTGTTTGGCGTCGTTACGCATACGCCGCATTGGCCGCATTCGAGCTGCGCATAATAATAACTTCGGATTTAGCCATGCGTGTGTGTGTGTCAGCTGATTTGCCGTGGCAGTTAGCTTGTTTATTACGCACCATTATGCATTGTAGGTGAGTCGAGTAGCACTGGACTTGTTGTTGGCACTTCGGCTTTGATTCCAAGACAATGCCAAGGCTGTAACTCCATTATGTGCCTATTATTCGGCCAATTATGTGACCCATTGAGCTCTAGGAGGCACTGTGATTTAGATAGCACGGACAGCACGGATGCCAACCAACCGAGTTGCTCGATCCAATACCTAATCACTGCTAAAAGGGAGCAATTGGGCCAACTTGTTGCTGGCTACAAAGCAGTAAGCCGCGCGGCGTTAACAATAGCTGCAACACGAGCATAACAACAACCACAGAAACTGTCAGGCCGTGGCAGCAACTTGGCGGCATTATGCAACCGATTGCAGCCGCAAAAAAGGAAAAAGACGCGGGAGAGCAAGCGAAATGCAGGCGAAACTGCTTTCTAAGCCACAAAGTTTTCCTGCTACCCCTCATGTTTTTTGTGGATTTATTTGCGGAATCACGGCTTGCATCGCCCGCACATTTAAAAAATAGCTGCAGATGGAGAGAGAGCGGGACACAGTGAGCTAATTTCGAATTCATTCAGCTGCCAAATCGCCAGCTCATTAATCATTCTCTCCTTCGCCGCCGCCAAAGAGTTGGAATCGTTTTGCAATGACAAGATACAATTTTGCGTCTTGTGAAACGAGTGCAGCGGCGGCAAGTGGCATGCAGCAAATGCTTTTACATTTCATTACTGCACTTGCACACACTATTTTTTAATTATGCACTTTGAGTTAGCACCCATCAAAAATGCATTTTGAAAACTTAATTAGCGTGCTTTCAGTTTTTCATCGGCTGGCAGCTGCATATTGAAAGCGGGGCGGAATCACTAATGCTCGCCAATGCCCACGTTCGTTGCCTCAGTCTTTCGTTTGCGACTCCGTTTTATGGTAATTGTGGAGCCTCGCAGTCCCGAACGGGCAGGTGGCCCAGTCTCAGCCAAAGGGGATTGTTCTCCTCGCCACAGTCATGATCCATGATCCACGATCAATTGCTCATAGTCCGCAGTCTACGGCAGATTGCTATCAGAGTACCTTCTGTTTTGTTACTCAGACGAATAGGGAAGTTGAGCCGAATCAACAAAGCGAACCCGCAAGGTATTTGCACTTTTTATATTTGTAATATTTTATTTAATTGATTTAGTTACTGTGAAATTGAAAGCGGAGTTCGGTGGAGGTGAGCTCATAATTTCAACTTCATTTATAAGACTTTTGGTTGGAATTCATTAATTTAAACCCTTGCTATGTCTATTTTCAGCTTTCCTGGCTTTTTGCCCACACAAATCATTGTGGCCCACAACTTCTGGTACAACCGTCCCATTTACTTGATTTAACGCTCCCCTTTTCGAGCGTTTCCATTTTTTCAGAGACCTGTGCGACTTTTGTTTTCATTTCGCCTCATTTCTGGTATTTTGCGGCTGCACTGACCTTTGAGTGCGGCCTATCGCCTTCATCGATTGAATGCGGCAGTGGGAGTGCCGAGCAACGCCTTGTATTTGCCTTTTAATTCCTGGGCATGCCAGTGTATTAGACAACAACTATTGGAGTATCTGGTGGAAAAGGCACGAAGCAAGGTTTCCACCTTCATGGCAAGGCAGAGAAATTTCCACCGCAAAACCAAATTGTACTGCACTTTTCTCATTTATTTTACAATTAAATTTTAATGTGCAATCGAACACCGTAAAACGCAACATTTTCCCCGGCCATTAAAGCCTTTGTCCACGAAAAACGAAAAAACGAAAAAACGAAACGGGGTCAGTTCTTCGGACCAGATATCAATGGAAAATTATTTTTCGGTACTCTTGCGGTTGCCAAACAATAAGGCACAAAAAAGATACAGAATGTCAGAAATTAGAATAAATGTTTTTTACGTGGCATTTTATGTTTCCTTCGCCTGCTGTTGGAAGGTCTCTGACAAAGTGCCGCCATTACCAAAAAAAAATCAAAAAAGAAAAAAGAATAAAAATCCGACATAGAAAACATTGAAATGTTGTAGTTATGTGGTCTATATCTTGAGGCCATTTGTTTGTGGCATGAGATCAAAAACAGAAAACGTAAATAATTGCCAAGTCACCAGATTCAAGGGGGAAAATGCCTTTGCATGGGTTACTTAATCTCGCAGAAATTGCCCAAAAACACTACAGCAGCTTACTTCGTTTTTAATTAAAAGTGACGACAAAATCCCCTAAGAAATTAAGGAAAAGTCAAACGAATCTTTCCGCATTTCGCGGTGCCAGGCTTAAAGCAGAAATTATCACACATAAATCACAGAAAAGGCAACAACCAGAAACAGAAACTCCGCAGTTGGCAAAAGTCCAAAAACATAAGAGTTCGAGTCGCCGGGTTCATTTCTTTTTCGGCTGTCGTCTGACATGACATTTCACTTTCATTTCCGAAGTGTGGTGTCTTGCATTCAAAATTATGCTGTGTTCAGAAACCACCCACTCCGCATACCTTACCATATCCACCGAGTATAAGACTCGTAATTTAAAGTGCGATCAATTGATTGTACTTCGCAGGCAAGAAACACGCCCACCACATGAATAATGGGTAAATGGGAAAATTGAATTATATACACAAACAAGCCATGAAAAGAAAGTGAACTTTATCAGTAATTATAAAAAGTCACGTTCGCGGCGTCGCGTTTACTGAATTTTTTAGGACCTTGTGGGTGGACGGAGTAAATATTAATACCGATTGTTATTATTTCGATCTCAACACGAAGTGTTATGGTAAACAAGAAACAAGGGTTAAGCCTTTAAACCTGCTACATATTCCAGTCAATCTGTTAATCAGATTTCCACCTGTCCTTGACTTTAAGCATGATTTTCCGCCGTGTTCGTGATTATTTTTCTTGCTCACCATAACAAGCAAAGATAACAAAGAAGCGTAATTAATGCGAGCTCAAAAGTGTTTATATAAATAAATGAAAATCTCTTTATCACGTGCCCAATTAACTCCGATTAGATACGAATAAAAGCAAAGGCAGTACAGATAATTAAATGCCTGAAAAATAGCAGTGCGAAGTGTTGTAAGATAAAAGCAAAGCCAAACAAACAATATATAAAAGCTCGATAAAAGCTGAAACAAAATATCTGCCTACCTCAAGCGGAAGTATGGCGAATCAACAAATCAGAAAACGTACAAAGGCAAAACGCAACAAAAAGCATAGTAGTAATTTTTTACGTTATGATGTAAGCAATGAAAGTGCAGTAAGAGAAAGACTTACAAGGAAAACATTTACAACAAACGCCAATTTAGGGCAGGAAAATGTATGACACTAATAAGAGGGCCAATCAACTACGAAACGATATTGTAATATTAGCCAAATTGGGCAGGAAGGAGAGTTACGTTACTTTAATAGTTTTAAAAAGGTTTTACCTATGCTACTATACCCTTTTAGGGTCATTTCTAGAGTAATTCTCTTAAGCTGAATGGAAACAAAATTCAAGACTCACCTGCTCGTGGACGATCTCCTGGAGGTCAAGGCCGTGGGTGGCGTTGGGCTCGCTGCCCACGGTCCACATGCGCAGCTGGTGGGGCGCGCCCTTGAAGAGTCCTTGGGTGGCGCGGAGGGAGAGGTTCAGGTGCTGGCCGAAGGCGCTGAAGGACACGTTGTGCGACTTGATGGCACTCACTTCCGGGGCGAACAGGTGGTTGCCGCCCGAGGCCAGGGCGTCGTGCTTCAGTTCGCTGTAGTAGGCGTTCTTGCTGAGATCCTTTTTCACGTGGTGGGTCGGCAGGGCGGCGTTGACCTTTGGCCCCTCGCCGATGCTCCGCCGCCGGCGGTTGTTGTTGTGGTTGTTCTCGTGGTGCTGGAGCTGCACGAGCTCATAGTGGGGCACTGCGTCGTGGGTGTCCACGTGGAAGACTGACTGCAGCTGCTCCGGCGTCATTTGTTTGTGCAACTGGAATACGAGAGGCAGAAAACGAATTCAGGTTAGTTGCTCAGGGCAATGACAACAAATTGTAGCAATTGTCAGATGGAAATGGGATAGGGGATAATTGAAAAATTATCAATAACTCAATGCAATAATCGAGTGTTTGTTTGCCAAGCCTCGTTGGTGGCGCTCTCTCTCTTGGTTCGTGTTTGCATTGGACCCTCAAGAGCTATCTGGAGATTATCGACTAAGCCAGAGCCAAAGTCAAATCCGAATCCGAGTCCGAGTCCGAGTCCGTATCCGAATCGGCTGGGTTTTGAGTATCTTCGCCAACTGGGTCAGGGTCAATGTGGCGTTTGGCGTTTGATAGATTTATTTATTGTGAGCAGACACACATGTATTTAAGTATTTCCGAATCAAACGAGGCGAATCGAACAAGAAGCAAAGAAATAAATATCGAATAGCAATCTTATCCGACTTGCGTGTAAACTTTTTCTTTATAAGCGCATTGTGTGCTGGCCATAATTGCGAATTTCAATTAAAATCAAATTAATTTCGTATTGATATTAATGGGCTTTTAATCTGTGACTGTGGTCAGAGCTATTCAATCCCCTATTCAGTTTGTTTTGCCCCGTAGAATAGTGCGGAATTTCCTATACGACTGTATTTCTGTAAATGAAGTAGTTCAAATTCATTCATAAGCTACTTTGAGTGCCCAAAGTGCCAGTCAGCGTGCCATTCTAAATGACATTCTACATGACTCAATCTTTGGATTTTTTGTACATCCAATGCATTTCCGTTTTATTTATCTGCCAGATCTGCATCTCACTTGCAATCCAATCAGCAGCGGCCACAAAAACAAGATCTGTTACAGGGTCAAAGCTGGAGTAGAATTTCCTTAAACAACGGCTAAGACGCAAGCGCAAAAACAAAAGACTCAGGCAACGAACTTGCTGGCCGGCTAGCAGCCTGCAATTTAGGCAAATTTCTTGCATTTATTTTGCCCAAAATGGCCTAAAGTGAGTCAGAAATGGACTTACTGCAAATGACGACAGCGCCGGACAAGAAACAGCCGAAAAGAAGCAGAAATCGCAAAAGCAAACCAAGACGAAGGCGAACAAGATGGCCAGTTGTCTTGGCCAAAGTACCAGACTCACTTTTACAGTTAAGATCGCTGCTAAGCGGCGATGCGGTGATGACACTGGCGGGCATAGCCGTAAGCCCAGCACGATAATTCTTTTATAATTGAAATCCCGCGGAAAGTTGGCAGGTGAACAAACGCCAGAAGAAAAACCAGACTCTTGGCGCTCAGACGCTCATCTCGACTCAACTCGGCACAATGCCAAAGAGTTTTTACTTTCATTTGAAACGTGTTTTCGACCACAGCCAACAGGAGCCAGCTGTTTGGGGTCGCATTGAGCAACTTTTGCCGTCATCGCCGTCGTCGTCGCCCCATTGAAAGTGAAACTGAGGCTTGAGAAAGGAAAACAGACGCAGGCAGCTACTCTTTCGATGAGGCGTTGAGTTCGCCACTCGAGTGCAATTGGAGTTGAGTGCAATCCCTGGCTCTAGGGCTCTCGGCTGGCCACATTTGGAAAGTTTCTGCACCTGCAGCAGTCGCCATTATTCTTTGCCCTCTCCGTATGCAAATCTCGCAGTTAAACGACCACACCCAGACACCAATCAACACTTAGCTCTGCGGCCCTTGTGGCCAATTAATCGCAATTAAAAACAAATGATCGAGAAACAACTGCGATCAGCAATTACGAATTATGCAAAAAAGGCGGCATCCAATGAACAAGATCACCAGCGGCGATTAGAGAACCAGGGTTGCCAAAGGTTCACTGCCGGAAAAACGGTTTAAAGCCCCCAAATGGCCTAAACATTATGCAAATCATTGATAGGCATCGGAAACTGCAACTCAAAGGTGTCGAAAGAAGTGGTAAATTTTCCACAAAATTCGATAGACAATTGCTAGCACTTAATTAGAGGTAATCAGCATGCTGGCTGCGTGAATAATTATGTCTTTAATTTTAAGAATTGGTTTTTATTTTACGGTTCTTAAAATAGCTAATAGCCTTTGATAGAAGCTGTTAGTCGTGACTATTATATTTAAGTAATCTTTTCTTTCGAATTTAAGTGTTCCTTTAAATTATCATGGATTATAATGGGAATAAATTATTATTTATATTACTTTTTGCATATTAAATTGGTAATGCATCGCTTCCCCACTGAATAGCAACCATTTTTCTTATTGCTAGCATTGGTCTCTGCACTTAATATCATATTTCCCAAGACACCCCACAAATTGCAGTTCATTAGGAACTCGAGAACGAAAATTATCGGCGTCTAGATATCCGTCGAAGCAAATCCAGACCTAGCTCAAGTTGTCATTCGATTCGATCGCCATTAAGCTGCTGTTTACCCAGCTATTTGTCCAAGCTTAAGTTTGATTTTATTTTCGGTTTTCGCCGAGTGCAATGACGGATGTTGTGAAATTGGCGCTGTTTGTAATTTGTATGGCTAGCTGGGTTGCTGCTTGATTTGGATTTTTACTGGGGCTGCTGGTGCGCGGGCAATTACTGAAATTGTGCGAGATTACTCATACGCCCGGTGTACGCTACGCTATAACCGGCATGGCGACGACTTTAGTTTCGATGGCGGCGGCGACCAAGTGCAATCAGAGTCAAGTCAAAGTAAAAGGTGTAGCAGCCATATTAACGCAAAAAGTGTGCTTCAAATTGGCTCTGGCTGAGGCCAATACACTGTTTATGGCCAACAGTGTTTGTTGTGCAATTGTTTTCCCCGCTTTTTTATCAGCCGGTCAAAGTCAACAGCGGCAGACGCTCGAAAGAGTGTCACTCGACCTTTCGCGCAGTCAGTCAAATACAAAGAAATGATTTTCGAGATTTTGGCACTTCGCTTGGGCTTTGCGGATGGTTAACCATCCACCACCAAATTGCAAACTTGTCGGCGTTCGCCTCTTTTCAATCCATTTCCTTGGATATTTGGGTGTGTTGACCTTGTCGCTCGGCTGACAGGCGGCGGAAATTAGCAACCGCTTCTGTCGGCGTTAAATTTTCTGGTTTTTACTTCTCTCGCTTTTGGAAATTTTGTGTTTATGCCAGCGATTAACAAAGTGTGAAAAGTTCAGGGTGTTACGAAACCTCCGGAATGGGCCGAGTCTAATCGGAATGGTACATTCGAGTGATTTGTTGCCCTGGAAATTGAGTGAATATGGCGGATCGAATGCTAAAATATTTACATACTTCAATGGCAATATCTAAATATGCCATCCATTTTATTAAGCACCTTTTAAAGAATCTCTGCAATATCCCACGTTATCGTCAGTCCCGCTTAATATCTCTCTTTAGATAATCAATTGAAATCTTGGCATTTTTGTATCATTTGTATATGAGTTTCCATTCCGATTGCATAATCTCTTAAACAACCGACAATTACTCATTCACTGACATTCGCCCGATTTTCCTGTAGCCCCACGCACACAAGTAGATACATAAAAACAGCGGGGAGAACGTGACCCGAGAACCCGAGCTCAAAAATGATTAAATAGAAATAAACCAAATCTCAAACCGTGACACAGAGCAGGCAGCTGTAGACAAAAAGCGAAAGAGCAGATCGGTAGCTACAAAAAATAAATAAATAATGAAACGAGTCCAGGAAACAACAATAAATCGTGCGGCAAACCATTCTGGATTTCACAATTAAAGGCTTAATTTATTTGGCCGGCAATTGATAGGCCAGCAAACATTTAGATACCTCATATTCTTTTACATTTCTGACAGCACATAAAGCAAACTGCAAAACTGCAAAACGGCTGCTGACTCACTCGATTCCGAATCGATATTCTGGTGGTGTTTTGCATGCCCCAACCTTAGTTCGTTTTTTACATCACTCTTTTCATGCTCGGCTGGGATTTGAAGGGCCTCGTCAAAGTTGTTGTAGTTTGGTTGTTTAGCTATTTTTGCTGCTGTTGGTGTAGCGTGTCAACTTTAATTGCAGTGGAAAACGGAGACGAAGTCGTTTATGGGGCACCTTTTTATGCCAGCACCATTTATGCGACATAGGCAAGGCCAGGGGGTCGTTGTCTCCGCCAACACGAACTTGCCCCAAATCGGACCGCGCCATCATGGTCTATATATAAGAGTTCCAAAAGAGTCAAGGGAAAATCAAAAAAAGCGGGCTCTCATGAAAAATATAATTATAGGTTGCGAAATCGGAAAAGTAATTTCAAGAACTGTTCAAATTCAATTTTAGCACTTGTACATAATTTGTTTCTTTATGTTTCGGAAATATTTAATACAGCCCCGACACAATTTTTAACCAGTAACAGTGCCTACTACAAACAAACTACCTACAAATTTTTAATTTGCTCCATGAAGAGGCCCTGGAACTCGTTCAAGGATGGGATCTTCTCCAAGTACTTTCTGAACTGCGACACTGACTCGCGTCTGCTGTGGAAGACGAGTTTCTGGGCACAGAGCTTGTAGAGCCAAGCAATGTCCAAGTAGTTGCAGCCCTCCATGATGTCGCAAATGCTATCGATCTGCACGCGAAGGAACTCCTTGTCCCAGTCGGACGTCTGGAGCTCAATCTCCTCGGCCGGAAGAGGATCGTTTTTGGCCACCCAGGCGGGCTCATCGTGTTCCTCGTGGTACTCTGCCCACAGGAGGATCTTCAGCAGGACGTCGCTGTGTATTCCGTGCAGTGGCAGGATGAAGTCCTCGTCCTCTGGGACCTGGCCAACGCGGCACATCTCGCGGATCACCAAGGATCTGTCGAGCAGAGCCAGATTCACTCGGATCGTCCTGCCATCCCTCGTCTCGAATCGCACCATTCTTGAAACCAAATCCGGTGTCGAGCGGGTCATCAAAAATTAAGAGCTTCCACTCAAAAAGTCAGGGCCTACTTCTTGCTACCCATAAAAACTAAGAGCACTTTGTTACCTAAATATTGGAATCTGTATATCTACTTTCTCAGGAAGCTAAGGAGTGCATCCGTTTTGATTTGAGGGAAATTTGAGTTAAATTTCGAAACAAAACCACCATCGTTCGTAATCACCAAGTTTCCAACAGACGAAGCAAAACCATAACCTCCGCAACAAAAGCGGTGACAATGAAAAAGAAAAGTGGAAGGCGGCTAACAAATGGCCAACGACAGCTAAATAATAAAATAAAAGTAAGTAAACAAACGATGGAGGGACAGTCTGAAATTCACTTGAAATAATTACAAGAACTTTTTACGTCCGACCTTGGCCATAATTTTGCTGGCCGAGCTTTTTCTTGAAAACGAAAAGCAGAAAAAAACCAGAGACAAAAGCTGTGCTGTATGTCAATGAGATACACCCATACAAGCGCACTCAGAAACCTGGCCCACTACACAATGTCAATGGTTTATTTCTAACGACGACTCTCTTCGACTCTGCGCTCTGTTTTGTAATTTAATTAATATACAAAAAATGTTTTGTATTTCTCGAAATGCTAATTACGCACAATGCAAATGACAATGAAACCGCCGACTGGCGGCCATTTGTTGTTCGTTTCTCCCCCCTTTTTATCCGTTAACAGCTGGCTTTATGGTATTATAAGTGCCCAAAGGTTATTTATATCGCACAAGGGTGATTGATGAGTTCTTGCAGTTGGCATTGGACTTATCTAAGGGTACTTACATCTGGCAGGGCCTGGCATATTGTGCTGCTGGCCAGGAGGAGCGCTGTGAGGAGGACCAATGGTGGGGACATCTTACTGAGTCGGCCGCCTAGGGTGCTAATATAATCCTTAAAAATGCTTAAACTGCAACGAAATTAAGGGGACACAGTGGTAAATATTAATTTTATTATTTAAGTAGTAGTAATTGGACGGTTATACTAAGGCCGTTATTAGTCGCTTGCAGCCTAATGTGCCACATCCGATTTGCCAATATATTCACGCAATTGCAGCATGCAAAGTATTTATTTCCCAAATAATTGTCTTACCACCTCACATGACCATTAGTTCCCTGCACACAAACCCGTCCTGGTCATGCTCAAATGGGCACTACGTTTGTAAGGCAAGTACAGTAAGCACCTGTTGTTGCAACTCAAACGCTGGTTGCTGCTTCAATTAATATTTACTTTTAGTTTTGTAGAAAGAAAACCTAGTTTTCTGGCACGCCGGCCGAGTAATTAATTATTGCATAAGGCCGAGAAGCAGCCTCGAGGCATACAAACATCTTGTGCGGCCCTGTTGATTGCTGTTTATGTTGCTTGTGTTGCTTGTGTTGCTGCTGTTGCAGTTGCACATCCGCCCGCCATCGAATGCGGCTAATTGTCAATAATGATGCAGCGATGCGTGGCGGGGAGCTGACAGCATCCATCGCATCCAAACCTTTTGACAAACCAACCAAGAAAACAAACAGAACTGACCAGCGGCAACAAAGGCAGCAACAGCAACTACAGCTTCACGTTGCCGTGTTGCAACTACTCAGTGGCATTTACGACAAATTGCATGACATTTTATATCCCAAAGGTTTTGCACAATTTGCATGCAACGTGCTGCAAGATCCGAGCTGCCGTGACCCACTTCAAGTGGAAGAAAGTCTCGCCGGCGAATCAATCATCATCAATCGTAATGAAATGTTCAGCTAAGCAATTGCCAAAAATGGGTGGTGCACAGCCCAAGGCCAATGCCCCAAAACACTTGCTCATGGATTGGCGAAAATTGTAGGTAAGCCAAGGAAAGTTCAGTTTTTTCTATTGAAACTGACTGCAGGCAAAACTCAGAAAATGGTATTGATATTTTGAGCAAACATTGAAAGCGGCTAGAAACGAAAGACTTAGAACACGAACTCGAACTTGCAGGCATGAGAAGGAATAAGTATTATACGTGTGTAAGGTCTTCTTAATGATTTGAAAACCACTTGGATGCCATGTAACAACCCTCAGAAGTCCATAAGAAAATCACCAATGCTGACAGAAAGTGGCATTTGGCAACCTTCAAGGCAAGACTTTCACCCGAAAACAAAAGTGAATCAAGAGCATTGAAGACTTTCAAGTGGACAGCAACTAATGTGCATTGGCTGCACGCCAAGTTATCAGGAACTTCAAGCGCACATTTAACAGCGAGAGTAAAAAGTAAAAAACCAAAACGTAACGGCTTTTAGGTGACCGCGAACAATCTTGTTTGTATTCCGATTCACATATTACAATACACACCAAATCAGTCGAAATAGAGAAACAGTTATGAGGCAAGATGGCAACTCGATTCGGTCTATCATTTGCATAATTAAGGCCGATTAGGGTCGAATCATTTGCCATATGTGGGCATGCATAAATCTAAATCTCAGCCAGCTCAAGGTTACGGCTATGGCAAAACTGTTTTTTGACTTATACTCGGCTTGCATAATTCCCGTTCATATTTTTTATATAATTACGGGCCACGGTAAAAACATATAGAAAACCAAAAGATACGCATCATCAAATGTCAACCGATTTCAAACAGAAGCTGGCCCAAAAGTCCAAAAGTGTGGAAATGGCAGTGGAACTGTGCCAAAAGCCGCCAAAAACCGAAAAGCAAGTTGCATTGTCAGCTTCCGCATAATTATGCCGCCTGGCCGAATATGTTTTTCTTTTTACCCCGTTTTCAGTGGCTCTTGTGGCTGTGACTGTGGCTTTTGCCTTTGCTTTTACCATAAAGTCAGCGTCTGTTTCGGTTTATGGGAATTTTTTGTGTGTTGCTGCTTGCTGCTGGCTGGGGTTTGCTTTTAACTTTTGCTTTCTTAATGATTTGCTGACACAACCCTCCAAGCGCGGCTCTGTTGTAAGCTCGTTGTCTCGATCTTTTTGGAGGGCGTCAGCGTTTTAGTTTAAATTGACATTGACAGTTGTTGGCCAGCACATCGCCACCTCTCTCCTTCTGCGGCATGGCAGACAAACAGCTGCTTCTGTTGGCCGATAAGCATCGGGGATTGGGGAACCTGTGTCAGCACCTGCGTCAGTAGCACTCCATTTGGCTTGATAATGAACCCATTTCCCGCGACTGCCGGCGACATTGGCTGAGAGAATAACTGGAACCACAGGGCGTATGAGCGATGCAGCCAACCCATTTCCCAGCCAGACACAGAAAAAATATGTGGATCACACATAAATCGGCCAAAATGTGACATAACAAAGTTCAACTGCGAACATTTTGCCCAAGAGATAATAAATTTACCAGATACTCCGCCGACAATTCCGCTGCAAGTTGCAGACAGCGATCAAGTGGAGGTGGGGATTACGTAAAGTGTCTGTGACCTGAACTTTTTGCATTTGTGTGCCTGCTGGAAAAGGGCGAGCGAATCTCTCGACCATTGTTTTATAATGATAAAACAATGAATGTGGTCTGGGAACCTGCACCTTGAGTCGCTCATAGTCTGTTGAAAGCTCGGCAATCGGAGTTGAGCTGAAGAAACAGCTGTGCAAATTTGGCTATTTGGCGAACAAAAACATATAAAGTGCGGGCCAAATGTCAAATACTAATATTTGAGTGCGTCCCATTTGAATTCTAGGTCCGCTGACATAATTCATCGAAGATCATGGCTACCAAACTGGTTTCAGGGCCGCCGCCCAAATGTTTGTCTTAAGCAGCTGTTCCTGAGCACATTATTCATTTATGTATATTAGTTGGTTAGCCAAGACCAGCGTGCCGATGGTTCTGCACACAACAAAGGCATGGCCCCTGGTGCGTATACGTAATGTGCTGGAGGGGGGGCGAGAAAAGCAGATACATCACCGAAAACAAGTTTGAAGTTATTTTATCTTTATCCGGCCCCCGCGCCAACGAAATAATAATCAAAATGCCATTATAAAATGCGCAAATATTGAAAAATTGCAAGGCGCAAAGGCGACGAAGAGGTGGCAAACAAAAAACAGCACTACGTATACGTAATATGCGGGACTAATTAAATTTAAAGATGGGCAATGACAGCGAAAAGGCAGCGAAAGAAAATAAGTGAAATATTTGAAATATTTGCCAAAAGAATACGCAGCATAGTAAAAGTTGCGTTTCGGAACTGGGTATGTGCTCCTGTTTTTGCGTTGTTTCTGTCTTCTGTCTTCTGCTCTTGCAATTGTTATGATTTTTGCAGCCGTTGTTACAACATGCAACTTTGCCACAAGCTACAAAAACAACAAGCACTTGCGCTGATTGCGTGCTGCGCCGGCGTCGCAGTCGACTGCGCTGCCGCAGTCGGCGCTGCGGTCGAAGTCGGAAAAGCCATAAACCGCATTAAAATGAAAATGAAAGTGAAAATGTAATTGAAATTGAAGAAGACGTCGGCTAAAATATTTGACTTCAACTTTGCTTCGATTTGTGTGATGGCTTGCATGGATTTTTAACACTATTTCCATTGCATTGCCTTTTGATATTTTTTCGATTATTGCTCGTGCAATGCAATCGTAAACTTTTAGCATTTAAATGAAAAATTTACGGGCTTGCAATAAATATGGATATATTGCTATGAAAAAATAACAAATTATCACTAAGTATACATATAAATTCTTCAGCAATTAAAAATAAAATAAATATTTTAGCTGTCTATTAATAGGTAATAGTTTTCTGCAAAAATAATGAAGCAAAGTTTCTGATGTCGAGCTTAAATAATTTTCGAACAGGATTTTACTAGAAATGCCATCGAAATATCTAAGAAATTCGCAAAATGATGACTTCGCAAAAGGTTAAGCTTAAGTAACACTACGGGCAAACAGTTTATGGGTAAATACAAAAATAACCTGAGTACATTGACTACCCCGACAAACTATTCCATGAATGCTAAACAAACTGAAATAGCAACAACAACTTAGTAAATTGAGTGGCTGGGCTGGCGACTGAAACAACACAAATAAAAATATAAACAAACAGGTTACTCGGGTTTCGTCTTCGCCGATGTCAATGAAAAAGCTGAAAAGATCCCAAGAAACAAAACAGTCGATATAAGATGAATTGAATGCGAACCGAACGCCGAATCTAATGATGATCGCTATCGAATGGCACAAATAATGCCTCTTTTCGGGAAATCCGGACAAAACCCCAGAAGGGCTGTTGTTCCGCAGAATATCAATGGCATAGAAAGTGGCGTATCTATGGGGCGTGGGGATATTGGATTTATAATCGAACAAAGGCCGATACGAAAGCTCAAAGCTCGGCTCTCGCTCTCTCCCTCTTTGTTGAAATCAAAAGTGCAATAATTGCAGCAAAATCACTAAAATACAGTACGAAATGCGGAGAGCAAAGCGTGGCGGGCAATAATAACTGTAGCAATATTACAAAATCGCATTGGTTCGACGAGGCTCGCAAAAGCCAGCGAATACACCACAACAACAATGGGATAATAAGCCCACAACACACCAACACCAACAAGTACACCAGCTACAACAACAAGTCGGCACGAAAAGTTGTTCCAGCGAAACAAAAATATAAAACAAAACCCGCTCGAACTGAACTTAAAACTGGGAAACAAGCCCATTTTGTGGGCCGAACTAAAAGCCAGACAAAAGTCTTGCGCACAATCGCATGCACATACATATGGTATAGTGTCCATATCCCCCGCCCAAAAGCTAGGATCCTGCTCTAGAAATCTCGTTTTATAGGGCCAACGGACCCTCGACGCACTGCATCCCATGTGGCATTCAATTCCTCTGGCTCGATTCCGCAATTAGCAAGTTCAAAACCAAACTCACATGTGTGGCAATAATTATGCCCCAAAACTTGTCTGCAAATTAGTGGGAGCCACCCAACCGCTATTGTGGTCCATGAGGTAATAATCAAAAATCTATGATGGCAGAAGATCAAAATTGTGATGACTCTGGCATCTAACATGTGCCGACTATGGCACATGGACTAGAAGACTAGAAAGTGCTAATTTACTTTATATTTATTCCAGGAACTCTCACTATTCTGGCTCAGAAAGCTACACTGAGACTTACAGGTTGAGTAAATAAATTAACACTACTTGAAACCTTTTTAAAAATTGCAATTATTTTTAAAAAATTGTAACTCACCTAAGTTTGATCCTGTCTGCTGTCTGCTGAAGGTTGCGAACCAAACGGATTTTCGAGGTGTTTCTAAGATTTGCTCAGCACTTTCATAGGCGGACACAGCACTAAGTGATTTGGGTTTTTGAATTTTTCAAGTTTAAGGATATCTGTTCCGAGTGCTCTTCTGAACTGAACAACGCGACGCGGCGAGCGGCAGAACACGCAGCCCGGACTCAAAGGTGGGATTGGGTGGGACTCGGGATCGGATTAGATCGGTGGCCGTTACTGGGGCTAAAGCCGTAGCTATATGTCCAGAATCGGGGCACAGAACACTCGCGATCGCGATCGGAACGTGGCGGAAAGAAAGACGAGCAGCGATTAAGCTGGAGGCGGTCGGTGAGCAAAGATTAAATACGGCGTGAAATTTGCTTGGCAGTGAATTTTTTCCTCTCATTCGCCGTGTTATTTTTTGATTATTTTTCGTAAACGAAATTTATTTTTCACTCAATTTCGCCCCATTGCTTTATTATGACTTGCTTCCCCGCCTTCTGGGGGGGAAGAACACAAAAAAACATAAACAATGAAGAGCGCGACGACGGCGACGGCGGCGTCGAGTGCAGCGGTACGCTTGGCTGTGGGTGCGAGCGGGATGCCGAGCGGGACAGCAGATTCACTTTTTTATCAACTTTTTTTACTGGCTTTTTTGCACGATGCTATTACGAAAACGGGCTGAAGCGGGCGGCGGATCGCAAATTGAGCTTTGTTTTGCTGGGGAATTGCACTTTTGAGCTGCCCTGACGTCACGATCTTGCCGATGCACTTATGTACATAAAATACATGATACATATGCGTGTATATTTTCTGGCAGCAGACAGTCACTTGGGAATTTTTGGAAATTTAATTCAGCGACCGTTTCTCGGTTTCGAATCGAAATCAAAGTCCAAAAGAGTTGGTGGCTAAGTCTTTGACGGTTTTTTGTGGCCGTCTACGGAAACAGGTCGGCGCACACTAAAGTTAACGATCGCTCGGAACGCTCCACGGAGTCCAAAACCGATCCAAAGCTGGCTGCACGAGCGAGATGGCACCAACGGCGGTACGAGAGCGGAGCTTTGGGCCAAAACTTATAGCAGCTAGACGATCTGCTGGCTATATCATAACCGAAAGCCGAAGCCAAAGCCAAAGCCAAAGCCTTGAAAGCTCAGCCGCCAACGAAAGCGAAAGCATAAAACACTTGCATTTTTCGTTCCATAGTTCGAGCTTCGCTTTGAGCCAGCTTTCGAGTGGGTTTTGGCCACAAACTCGGACTCGGACTCGGACTCGCACTCGGACTCGCACTCATTCGCCGTTGAATGACTCTTTGAGTGGAATGAAATCCGACTGATTAATGTTGTAAAGACTCGCTTTAATTAATCTTCAGTCGGGCATCTTCCGAAGCACTCGACGTTGTTTGATTGGCGAGTTGAATGTTAAATTAATTAGGAAGGAAGGTGTCATTTGGGCATTGACATCGCCGACACTTTGTACAGGAAACTGAGGTTCGTACAGAACAAATCACTTCACATACCAGCATTCGTGATCCGTGTGTAACGGTTGCTATATGGCAGTGATAAGTCGCTCCAAAAACCCATTAGCTTTATGAGCTATTTTTCCAATGATATGACTTGACGAGATGTTTGATCTCACGATTAGATTGTTTGATAACAAAAGGTACTGTATTTCAATGACCACTGAACTTTGAAGGCTTAGTCTGAAAATTCTACCAAAAAATGATTAACCTACTGAGGCATTCTAATCCGAAATTCCAAGCGCGGCACTTCGCCCACTCGAAGCCAAGACAAAGGAAACAAAAACCATTTTTCAAAAGCGTTAGAAAAAATCGTTTCATTCACACCAAGTTCAATGGCAGTATTTGCATTGATAAAAACTCATTTGACTCCCACATGTAATTAAGATCATGTCGGTCCATTCAAACTGGGCCAATTAAAAGGGTAATTGTCACGCATTGAGAATCGATATGAAGATCTCAATGGGCCGCGTCCACGTCAAACCACCTACGTAAGCTCGGCAGCTGGGGACGATGGAATGATAATTAGGACAATCGAGAGCTCTCTGGGTGAAACGACAATGAACCGATCTCCGGATGACTCAACGGAGGCACACGAGATGTGGGATCCGCGGTCTCCAGGTCCATCCTCCCACCACCATGCCATTTCCATATCGACCCCATTTGCATGCGGCTAACAGCCCGTGCAGATCTGAGATCTGAGATCTGAGTGCCGCACTTCATGCGACATTTAAGTCGCAGTTGGAGATAGTATCTATTAATGGGCTGTGAGTTCCAAGCCATTGGCACCCCCAATCCAACCCACATCCAACCCAAATCCCTCCCCCTAATCGCCGATCTTGAAGCGCAACGAACAGGTTTCGTTTTGGCAATTGAACCCATTACTTTTATGCGGATTTCGTGTTAATTACCTTGCATTTGTTTACATTACCTTAAATTTGCGCTGTTTATTGGCCAAATCCTGCCTTTCTCACAGTGCATCGCATTCGGGTTCACGTCACATGCATTAAATATGGCTTGACACATTTTCTTCGACTTTTTGGCAATTGTTCTCGCTCATGTCAGCCCCAAAATTGTTGAACCGCAAACGAGTTTTTTTTCCTGGGAAGAGGCTGAATGAGTCGCGGAGTAATTTGTGAAGCTATCATCCTACATAATAGATTCCCCATTAATACGATCGTAAGCACCGCTAATTATTTCGATTCGTGACGTAGTTTTGATGCGGAAGCCTTAAAAATCAAATTAAAAATCGAAGAAGGTTTCGCAAAAGAAACCTACCTCAATGATGGTTTTCCGTAGAAATTACCTTTTTTACGCCACTTTTCAGGTCGATAATATAATGGGTAAAGGTCATTGAAGAAAATGTGCTTCCCCAGCTGGTCAATTAATCAAATTACATATATTCCGCCGCCCATCTGCACACACACATGTACATGTACTTATCCGTGTCAAAGGGTCAATGTCACTCAGCCCGCATCGGTAACCAAAAACAAAGTTGGGCAACCGCAGAGGAGGTACGAATCTCCGATAAAAAAGTTAGCAGATCGTCGTATCCAGCTTGTAATCCCCACCTATCCCCCAATACCCATATGGAAGCAGTTAACGAGGCGTCAGCATACGCAAATGATACATAAAATACATGAGCGAATACATGAAAAAGAAACGAAACCCATTTAAATATACATCCCATCCCAGATTGGTTCGATATTTATGTGCGACTCTTCCCCCGATAATTTCTACGCAGACAAACAAAGAAAAGCCATAAAACATTTGCATAATTTTCAACATTTCACGCTACTTTATTTGGAAATCTCCAAGTCCGCCTGCGAAATATCACGAAATGGTCAAACAAACCGCTCGGTTTATTAAAATTGTGTAATAGGGCAAACAAACTAAGAGCCAAACTATTCAGGGGGATAAAACTAGGATTATCGAGCAAGTGAAGCGGATAAACGTACTCGCGCTTTAAGTCGAAGAAATGTTCATAAATCTAAGGGGCAGACAGGCCGAACAAGTTGAGCAAAATTGTAGCCGAATCGATTATATATTTATATATAATCGATTTATATTTCCATTATGTCAGGTCGAAGCAGCAGTTGCTACTGCTACGCGGACTACCGAATGCCCAATGGACCAGCTTCACTAGCACCGTTTTGGCCAAAAGGCGCCGCCATTAATACAATCTGGCCCATAAACTGGGTCTCTTTCTCCCCGCCGCGCTCTGGTTTATTTTGGTTTGTTAGTCGGCCAAACAAATCTATAAATATGCATAAAGCTGGCCAAGAGACAGGCGCACACACGCGGATACCCATGGTTTCTGGCTCCTGGTCTTGCGAAAGCCGCGGGCAAAGCCCCCAGGCACTTAGCCTGGCTCAAACCACTGATGGCCGATGCCAAGTGCTGGCCACAGATTTGTTGTCGACTCTAGGAAGTGACAAGGAATTATTTGATTGTCTCTCGGCTTTTCGGAATGCGAGCTCAATCAGTATAAACTATTTTCAGTGGGAAACCAGTGCTGCACACCATCGATTATAGGCAAAGAGCTCCTCGACTAAAACGTCTTTCGAAATTGTTCACTAAACACTCTCCACGCTTATCAAGTCAGTTCGACAATATACAAAACCATTACCTTTTATAACTTGTTTGCCATTCTGTATTACACTTCCATTAAGCAGCGGGCATGCTGCGTCTGGTCTACATTTACTATGGAACCCTGCTACCTGGATGGAGCACCTTGCGGGCTTTTGGACAAGCCCAAAGGCACTTCATCGTACTCTGGCTGAAGTATTGGGTAATCTATGCACTGCTGCAGGCACTTGGAGTCCTAACGGACTTCCTGCTCGGCGGGCTGTCGGGCTACACGGGTCTCAAGCTCATCCTGTCCATAGGCCTCTGGTTCAGTGCCCCCTACAGCACCAATCACCTGTTTAATTTTCTGGATGAGTACGCCATGGGGATATTTGGACCAGTTGTCGAGGGAGGTATTCGCTGGCATGGGGAAGTCAATAGAAACATTTGCCGCAACTTTCTGCAATCACCACTGGGGGCAGTGGTTGTGCCAAAGGACGTGGATGAGCAGGCCAGGGAGCCGCAGATCAATAACCACCTCTTGAAAAAGGAACTGTCGAATCTCATGGCGCAGATTGGAAGAGATAAAGCCGACCATCGTCATCAGCATGAGCGCCCAATGAGGCGATATTCCGCTCGGTATTCAGAAGCAGCTGAGTTGGACGTATTGAACCAGAACCCCAATGTCATCGAGTATTTGAGCCAAAGATCGGGGGATCATCAGTAGGGCGGATATAAGCCATCGTCGGCTTAGCTAAAGCCAGGTCATCCCAAGTAACATTATTTTGTTTTGCTGCCCTTTCAAAACGTTACTGAATAAATGCCGGGTCGGATGATCGAAAATCTTGGTGTTGATTCACTCTTGGGGAGTTTACAGAAGCAGCTGCCACTGCGGCGCGACTCTCCATTAATCTTCAATTAGAAAAGTTCAATGCCAGCGGACGGGCATGTTAATTGATTCATGGATCGGCGCCAGGAATCGATGATCCAACGATCAGTAGCGATTTGTTGGCCATTGGCCCACATTGTTATTACAAATTGGCGAACAAAACTGCCTCCGATAAATTGTTGAAAGCAAGGCACAACACTTGCACGGACCTTTGGCGGCTATGCAGCTGATTAATTGAGAACGGCGAAGGGCAGGCGAAAACAAAAGACTGAAGCAACGAACTGGCTGCAACGGCCGGGACGCGTGTTGCGGCTTTTTGGGGAATGCTGCTGCTGCTGGCAACAATCTTAATGCAATTAGCACACTATTAATCTTGATCAAAATCCGAAACTCAGCAAATTCGCAATAACAACCGCGATGTAAGTGACGCATTCGTCACCGTATTGTAAAGCAATTTGTTTCAATTTTGCTTATCGATGATCTGTCGTGGATCCGATTCGCAAACAAATTCACGATGGGGGTCGAAACAAATTCTAGAAGCCATAAGGCGGTTTATCACTTAAATAACATTTATTGCTTTATTAATTTCCTGTATTTCATTTGATTATACTGATTATATGGAAACCAGCGTTAGCTTTGCTTATCAAGAAATTATTGATATGGGGAAAACATCAAGAACACTATTAGACTATAAAAGGTATATAATTACAAAAGAGAGCGCTGAAACTTGTTCAGCTACGAGGGTTATGGAGGTTATAATTACAAAGACATATATGCACGTGATTCTAAAACATCTTCCAGTGCACTTAATCATTGGCATTCAGAGTTTATTTCATCAGCTGCCTGCACCCACGTCGAGGAGTCATTAGCTCCTGGCCAGAGTTCCTTAGCCTTTGGCCGGAATTTTCTCCATTATCGGAGGGAACGAGTGCCCGGGGTGAGCTCCATTTAAATTTGGGTTAATCAGCGATAAAGCGCGCATTGCCATTGACATGGGGGAAAAAAAACGACACGAAGAACGAAGCGGAGTGCGAAATAAGTTGGTGCATTTACATATTTTGTAAAAAAATAACAATAATAATAACGTGCAATTAATAAATCGGCTTTGCCTCGCATCGCTAATTGTTTGTCATTAATTTGCATAACAAAATTAATTGGCAGCATTTATGCAAATCCCGAAATCCCACAAAATCACTTCCTAGGCGATGTGCCCGTGGTTGTGCCAAAGATGACACCTCAGTGGAGATCGGAGCCAAAGCCACTTGAATTGAAGTTCAAGTTTTCGCAATTGACCCACAAATTAATTATGCATGCATGCTGGTAATTGTGTATTTGCCTTTTACAATCGCACACGTAATATTTCCCCCCTCTGGCGCCCACATATTTTCTGCGTTATTTCCGTCAACATTTCATTTATTAGACGCAATTACAATTGATTTGGGTTTCGGTTTCAATTGTTGAGATTTCTGTGAACGGTATGGGAACCTTTTCTTGATGGCTTTTTGAATGCCTAGCCGAAATGTCATGAGCGTTCGGCTTTGGGCAGGGTCAAGACTTTTTGGCTCTTTGTGCGAAAGAAATTTCGACCGAAAATCGATCTGAATCAGAAGCCAATGATCCTAACCTTGGGACGGCCGAAAATTACCGAATGAGCCATGTTTTTCAATAAAATCAGTTCCCACGTGTCAGAACCATTTATATATTATACTCAAACGAACTGCACGCATTAATAATTTTAATTAAGATCCGTTTATTGCAATTACAAAGGCATAATCAAATCGGAAAGCTCTTTTACGGCCAGCTAACAAATTTATGGCAAATTTATTAATTGGTTTATTGCACCGCGTCTGATGTTTATTACAAATGTTCGTCTCGTGATTTGTGTGCCTTTAGCGATATTCTGTTAATGTGAAATACACCTTGACCTGAGCTACATCCGCTCGACGGAAACTGAAGGTGGTGAAGAGTGCGTAGTCCCCGGAAGGCAGCGGCATTATCTCCAGAATCTTGACAGGGAACCGGAAGTGCTGCAAGACAATTTCCCGCTGTGAATGATAGAGGAATTGAAAAAACATTGTATAGAATAAGATATCATGACAACTCACTGGAATGGGGCACTTGTTCACATTGGTGTTGTTCCCAAAACTGTTAAGGATAATGTTTACGAAGGGGTGGTTCCGTTTCTCCAGGTACTCGCACACGTCCGACTGGCAGATATTGTATAGAAAGGGCTTATAGCCACTGGCCTTCTTCAGCAGCTGCATGCGCATCTGAAGGAAAAACATAATGGCTTTAAGCTACAATGTACTTTATGTGAGCAGGCTATGCTTTACACTTATCACATAGCAGTGGATCATCACCACAATTTTCAACAATAGAATACAGACATACTCGCACATCGCCCTAAAACTGCAAAATTCCATTATACCTTTTGCATTAAATTCGGAATTTTCCAAAAAATAACTCTTATTCTGGCAGTCCTAATATCCACAAAATACTTTAGATATGTGCTTCCTTAGCCTTATGTCGCAGTTCCTGTTCTTTGTCTATGGCACAATGGGACCGGCCTGGCACACCTACAAGACTCTGAACAGCGGAGACGAGGAGTTCCTGGCCTGGGCCAAGTACTGGATAGTGTACGCCTTCCTGATCACCTTCGAGGTGCTGGCGGACGCCTTTCTGTCCTGGCTGCCGCTCTACATGCCCACCAAGCTGCTTCTGGTCCTGTGGATCGTGCTGTCCGCTCCGTCCGCCAATGTCTGGATGTTCGACGCCATCCTGCGTCCGGTGCTGTCCAAGCGGCAGGAGCAGATTGATCACTTCCTGCACCAGGGCAAGGACAAGCTCCTGAGCGACGCCCTTTCATCGATGACACAGCTGCTGGGACGTAGCCAAACCGTTGTACTGCCCTTTATGGCCAAACTCTGGACGAGATCGAGCACTTCTCCCCTTATGAGTTCCAATCTGTTGCAGGACGCCACTGGAGAAGGAATTGGAGGCAGGCCATCGGAGGATACTGACTCGGCCAACGCCTCTGTCCAAAATCTGTCCAGTGGTTCCAGTCCAGTTGGCAGCTTAGAGAATCTCAACGACGATTCTGGGGAGATTCAGGTGGGCGCTTCGAAGGCCACCACACACTTGCAAACGGATAAGTCCGAGAGCGACTTGGCCAAGCATAACCTCTTTTCGCCGGAGTCACATAGGATCCTTCATCGACGAGTTCAGCGCAAGGTCAAGACTGCAATGTGTATTTCCTCCGCCACCAAGTCGGACCACCTCCATGACGATGTTGAGGATCTACTGGTCAAGTCAAGGATTGAAACCAGCGGCCAGGAAGTCCGTCATCAACGTCAACCGGCCAGCCGTCGTCGTCTCTAACTTTTAGCAATATGATTTTTAAAACCCCAACAGGGGCTGTACTTATTTAATTAATTCAAAATATAAATTGGAAACTATACGAAATGTTGGTTTTGAGCATGGGTAGGTTTCAAGTTATTAAAATAATTATTTTCTGTACTCGCATAACCCACTATAAATAGCTATTCAACCATGTCATTCTACGTAGGCCAGAACCGCTCTTAGCCACCAATCAAACTCACCGATACCGGTCCTTTTGGCCATTGGAGGATGTTGGCCCTCAAACTCATTTCCACCACATCCCGCTTCACGGCGTACAGTCGGCACAAAGAAATGGTGGTAAAGTTTTCGTCCACACCTAAGCACTCGATGTTTGTGAACTTGGCAACTCCTTGGACCTGAAGTGGACCACTGTTCAGTGTATAATCCCAGCCAGCTTATAGGAGAACTTGCCTGCAAAAAGTGCCAGAGTCCAAAACACAAGAAAAACTCCGTCAACGTGGCCATTACTAAGTTCACCAAAAAGCCATTAAAAACTGGCATACAGTGTCATCATAAGCGTAGCAAAAGCAAGTCAACCGAAAAAATAACCGATAGATATCCATCATTGCGAGCAATTATCAATTGTGTTTAATTACTTGAACTTTCGATTTGTTGTTCAGTTTTAATTAAACAAAAACGTATTGGTCTGTATCCAACAGGCAGCACTTAACTTAACTAGACGAATGTAAACTAGATTTGGGACATGGGTGTGTGAGGCGTGATTATGGAATTGTTTTGTTGTGTTTATGGCCTTAATCACTGGCCTCATCTTCCTCATCCTCCTCATCTTCATCGCTGGCATTGCTAGCCTCCTCGCTCTCCTCCGCTTCGCTCTCGCTCTTGGCCTTTTTCTTTTTGGCATCGCCATCGGATGGGGGCTTACTCTTCTTCTTGGCGGGCTCATTGTCCTTCTCGTCCTCGGAGCTGGTGGAGTCGTCGTCCGAAATGTACTCCTTGCTCTTGAAACCGCTGCCTGAGGTATTCGCCTTCTTGGATGGAGATGGCTCCGTCTTGCGCTTCTTGGAGGACTTTCCACCTTTCTCGTTGTCACTGCCACCGCCCGCTTCAGGCTTGTAGTTACGCATCTCGTCGTGGTAGCGCTGCTTGTCCTTGGCTGCCGCATCCTCCCACTTGGACTTGTCCTTCAGCTCCTTCCACATTTCGCCGCCCTTCTTGGCGATCTCGGTAACCTTAATGCCCGGATTATCCCTTTTGATGCTCTCGCGCGTGTCGTTCAGCCAGAGCATGAATGCGGTTGTGGCGCGCTTTGGTTTGCCTGAGTCCTTCTTCTTGGAGGCTTTTTTCTATCAAAATATAAAATTATGTCGCTATAAGCTACAATAATAAACGCACATTACTTACTGTTCGCTCCTTCTCCTTGTGTTTTTTCTCCTTTTTCTCTTTCTTTTCGGACTTCTTCTCTTTCCTTTTCTTAGCGCCATCACTGTCGCCTCCACTGGCATCGCTGTCGTCGTCCGAATCACTCTCCACATTGCTGTCATACTCCTCGGCCACATCGGACTCGTTCTCGTTGGGCTTGAAGTCCTCATCCGTGGACTCCTCATCCGAGTCGTCGCCATCGTCGTCGTCCTCCTCCTTTTCCCTGGCCTCAGCCTTGAGGCGCGCCAGATAGGCATCCGGTTCGTTCTCGTTGTCCGAATCGCCAAAGTCCACGTCCTTGTAGCCGCTCTTGTCCTTGCCCATGTTGCTGACATGCAACTTCTTCTGTGTGATGAAGTCGAAGAGCTTGGCATACTCCTCCTTCTCGATGGAGGAGAAAATGTGGACGGTTCCATTTTTCAGCGTCACCTCGAAGTCAAAAGATCGCGTGGAGCCGCCACTGCGGGCAAAGTTCACAGAACCAATTTCCTCAAAGCGGATATGAAGCGGCGGCTTGTGGATATAGATGAAACCTCGCTCCAGGGGATACAGATATCCAGCTGCGGCCTTAAAGGAGCAGCCGACTGCAGCCGTGCCAGAGTGTCCAATAAAGTTACCAGGCCCGGTAATTTTGCGACCGATCAGCACCTTCATCACTTTGCCCATCACCTCGTACACCGGCCCGGAGATCTCCTTCTCCAGCTTGCCCTCATACTTGTCGCGCAACTCGGCCTCTGAGAAGGGCAGCTCAATGGTGGTCTCCTCATCGGGAGCGAACAGCAGGACTAGGTAGTGGTAGCGCGTCTGTCCCTGCTTGATGGGTGGATCCAAGGAGAGCACAAAGAACATCTGGCGACTGTCCTTGTGGGGCAGCATGAAGAGCCGCAGCACCGAGTCCATGGGAATCTTGTAGTCGAACGTCTTGCCGTGCAGTTGGAAAAAGGTGGAGAAGATCTTGATGTCGTAGCGACCACGAGGCGTGAGGATCTGGATCTCTCTAAATATGGCGATGGACTCGCCCGAAGCCGAGATGACCGAGGCCTTGCTCATCACGTTTTGGTGGAACTTGTCTACCGGATCGTCCTCGGCCGACTCCACGGCAGGGATATGGAACCGCATCTCAAGCAGACCCACCGGCGCATCGTCGTTCTGGTGGAACTCCAAGGTGACCTCGTTCTTGCCAGTCACACACTGCGAAACGTGCGACAGCGGCACCTCAAAGATGGTCTTCGACTCCTTGTCGAAACTCAGGACGGAGCCCATGAAGCGAGCGGTGCCCCAGTTCCAGCCTTTGACGCACATCTCCTTCTCGACCATCTCCTGCGAGTAGGCATCCTTAATAAACTTGCCCAGCTTTTCGTGCTCGCTGTCGCGGAATCCCGTGAAGCGATGGAGCACACCGCTTTTGGTGAACACCCTCAGTCCCCAGGTGCCCACGAACTTCTGCGAGTTGATTAGGTCTATGTCCTCCGCCGAGATCTGCTCCACCTTGCCGGTCTTTGTGTTCTTGAAGATGATGTTCTGATCGGTCAGCTTCAGGCGTCCAGAACACTGTTTTGCAAGGAGGGGAATGAGAAACCTCAGTCAGGCGAAATGTGCCAAAATACGCCGGCTTTTTTGCAACTCACCAAGACGCCGCGCACTTCGGCGTTTATGTCGTTGTACTCCAGCGAGTCAGTCATCCTGCGCTTCTGCTGCTCAAATAACTAAATAAAAGGTCAACAATATTTTACGCCGCCTTGCGAAGTTCTCCTCAATTTGCAATAATTCCGCCCGACAAAAAACAACACTGCGCGCCTAATTTTAGGTTAGACGCCGCTGGCAGCCAAGCTAAATCAGAGTGACCGCACGCATTCAGTATTTTTGGGTGCCATATTTTTAAGTTACAGATCGATTTCAAAATAAGCTCATTATGTTCCAATGCAGTGGCCTTTCTCCATCGTACTATTTGTCTACTTGTGAGTAACAACAACAAATTGTCAAACAATAAGCTCTAACACTAACAATAATGCACTAAGCACTTTAATATACCAAACCAATTCTTTGGATCTTTTAAAATACCATATTGGAATTCGGATTGAAAACGGTCACTCTATTTACTTGTTTACAAAACAGCCGTATATTTTTAGAGGAATACAAAGCGTTTTACTTGAAATTTTGAAAATCCACTGAGCGTGGAGGCTTAAGACTATGCAACGAGGTAAAATTTCCTTCGGGAAAATCCAACTGAATGTAAACAAGGCGCCCGCGGAGCCTAAATCTGATGAAACCGAGAGGGAAGATGCAAAGGTGTCCACTGAAGCCGGCGGAAATGGCGGAGGATTCAAGAAAATGGACAAGCAGCAGATGATTCGGCAGATCGAGGATGTGGCCGAGGATCTGGAGAGTCAGCACCTCAAGGAAGTGATGGGCATCAGCGGATTCGGTCGCAAGGCAGCCAAGGTGTTCGACATCAATGAGCAAATAGAAAAAGCGAGAGTTACCCGGCCGAGAATTGACAAAAAGAAGGAGGAGTCCAAGCCGGACGAGGATGACAAAGAAGCCGAAGAACAGGAGGACGTAATAGGTCCATTACCACCAGCAGTGAACACAGACAAGGAAAAAACCACGAAGGAGTCGTCCAAAGACGAAAACTCCGATGACGATGATGATTCCTCCGATGACGATTCAGATGACGAACAAAGCCTCGCCAAACGCATTCCCTACACCCATGAGGTGCAGATGCAGCACGGTTCCCGAGCTGTCCTAGCTCTGGCTGGTGATCCCTCGGGTGCCCGCTTGGTCTCTGGTTCCATAGACTACGACATGTGCTTCTGGGACTTTGCCGGCATGGACTCGGGCATGCGAAGCTTCCGGCAGCTACAGCCGTGCGAGAACCATCCCATACGCTCTCTCCAATACTCCGTGACCGGCGACATGATCCTGGTCATCTCCGGAAACGCCCAAGCCAAGGTTCTCGACCGCGATGGATTCGAGAAACTGGAGTGCTGCAAGGGCGATCAGTATATCTCGGACATGTCCCGCACCAAGGGTCACGTGGCACAGTTGACCTCCGGCTGCTGGCATCCATTTAACAGGGAGCAGTTCCTGACCGCAGCTCTGGACGGGACTCTGCGCATATGGCAGGGATTGAAGTCCAAGGAGCAGGTGCAGGTGATCAAGACCAGGGCACAGGGTGGCCTCCGCACCAACGCTGCATCGTGTAACTTCAACAGGGACGCTACCCTCATAGCAGCCGGATGTGTGGATGGTTCCATTCAAACCTGGGACACGCGCAAGATGTTTGTGAACACCACACACTGCGTCAGGGATGCGCATCAGAAGGGGTCAGAGATTACCTCCATTGTGTTCTCGTACATGGGTCAGCAGTTGGCCACCCGCAGCAACGACGAGACCATGAAGCTTTGGGATCTGCGGCAGTTCAAACATCCGCTACATACCTGGACGAATCTGTTCTCCCGTTACGACACAACAGATTGCTGCTTTAGTCCGGATGATCGGCTGCTGGTCACCGGAGAATCGCTACCCAAGGGCCAGGCCGAAGCAAACCTATACTTCTACAGCACTAAGAGTTACGAGGAAGTGCAGCGGATTCCCGTGTCCAACGCGCACGTGGTGAAAACCCTATGGCACCCGAAACTCAACCAACTGTTCGTGAGCTGTGGC